AAGTGGAATGGTGCCATTCCATGGATTGACGTTTTGACTCGGGATCATAGTGGTAGAGCCATATTTTATCACCCGTTACTAATCTCGTTTTGAATATGACGAAATCCTCCTCAATAAGCTCTAAATTGTCTCTGGCAATGTCAATTCTTTTTACCTGAAGATCAGAATTGAGAAACTTTGGCACCCAACGAGCAGATATCCTAATCATCTGTAAATGTTCGTGAATGATAGTTTCAATTGATCCATGGCTTAGACCTGTGTCTTCATCAACTTCCGCAATGGTAATACGTCTATCTGGAAAAAAATGTTTTTCTATCTCCATCTTGAATCTTCATTGTTGGAGGTTGAGGGACGTCCAGACCTAGGGTCATCATCAAGGCTTGTTCTCCCAGCCTTAAACATAGCTGCCCAACGTTTAACAGTGGGACAGCTAGGGCACTTATCCCCATACACTTGTGAGATGTGGTCATTAATTTCTTGGGGAGTACTTTTCAATAGTGGTTTTGGAAATGTTTGTTATAAACAATCTGTACAATCTGAAAGTGTATTTATCAATCCTCTTCAGAGGCTAAAAGATAGTTATCTGCAATCGTGGTCATTTTCGTTGACATTATCGAACACATTTATATATTATAAAACGTTGAAAATTCATATATACATTGAACAGTATCTGTTTCATGTAAATGTAAAGAAATGCGTACTTCATTGGCAAGATTTCAATGGTCATCCCATGATCTATGCTTCGAGAATGGGAGATATACAAAAGTTATGTCATGGACAAAATATTCACGTCAATCATAGAAAGACGATTGAGAATATGGATGGAAGTATATAATTTACTGTCCGAGTCTCAAGCAGGGTTCCAACCAAACTACTCTACTGCTGATAATTTGTTTTTTTTACAAGCTCTTTGATCTAAATATTTGTGCAAAACCAGAGGTCGTATTTATTGTGTATTTATTGATTTTTAAAAGAAGCTTTTGACTATGTTAATAGAAAACAATATGTATTTACTTATTACTAAATAATGTCATGGTAAAATGTTTGTACTTTCAAAAAACATGTATGCATCAGTCAGCGCATGTATAAAGGTCAATAATGAACATACGGACTGCTTTCCAACATCCTCCGGTGAACGACAAGGTTGTGTTTTAAGTTGTTTGTTGTTTACTTTTTTCATAAATGAACTTGCTATAGAGCTGCAAAATAGTTGCCAACGTGGGATATGTGTAACACAAGAAATAATGGACATTATGCTCCTTCTCTTTGCTGATGATGTTGTCATTTTTTCATATTCTGTAAATGGCTAACAGTTTAATGTGTTACAGAGTAACTGTTCAAAACGGAGTCTTGAAGTAAATCTGAATAAAACCAATGCTGTAGTTTTTAGAAAAGGTGGTATTGTTGCAAAACATGAAAAGTGGTTTCTTGGTTCGTCTGCCTTGAGTGTAGTCATTTAGGTCTTATGTTCTCCTCTAGATTGTCATGGTCTATGGTGTGTAAGCATTTAGCTTTTCGGGCGTCGAAAAATATTATGCTTCTTTATAATTTATTAAGGAAAAATAGTTGTGTGTCTTTTTTCACAGCATTTTTTAAGGCAAAATTATGCCTATACTTTTATATAGTTATGACATATGGGGTGCTAAGTATTACGCTGCAATTGAAAAAGTTGACACTTCATATTTCAAATGTTTTCTAGGTGTTGCCTCAAACAAGGCAATCCTTGGTGAAACAGGCCGTAGTAATATTTTTGTAGCCAGCAAATGAAGGGTTATTAAGTAATGGATTAGATACTTAGAATGATGCCTGACAGATACCCATATCAGTGTTACAAAATGTTAACGGTACTTGATGCTAATGGTAAAAAATAATTGGGTTTCAGATGTGAGAAATCTATTATTTGTTAGTGGCTTTTCATATGTATGGATTTTCCAAGATGTGGGAGATCCACAGTTATTTTTATATTCATTTAAGCAAAGACTGAAGGATATATTTTGTCAACAGTGGCACCAAAGTATTTCTGAATTACTTTATCTTAGCAATAACAGCAAAGTAAAATCATTGTTACAAACTGAAAGATATTTTACTTGTTTAAATGATAAAAGTTTAATCAGAACTTATTGTAAACTTAGACTTTCATTGCACAATTTTAATGTTAATGGATGTCGCAGGTCCAATGACGGTGATATTGTGAACTCTGTTTGTACAAACTGTTCATCCGGGGAGGTAGAGGATGAATACCATGTCTTACTTATATGTGAAACGTATTCCCATTTAAGGTATACATTTCTCCCCATGATAAATCTGCTAAACTCTGAAAATCCTGATATGATCCATGCTGTTTCTGTATATTTTAACCATGTCTTTAAAATGAGGAATGTGTAACTTGATTTAAAATATAATCATGTAAATCACGTGACAAATGTTACTTCCAATCTGCATTGTACTATGGGCCTTGATGCCTAAATTACTGAATAAACTGTCTGTCTGTCTGATATACAAAATCTCTTAGGTCAGAACGATGAAGTAAAATGTGTAATAGCCAAGATATAGAGGATGAATATCACTTTTTACTTGTCCATTGTACTCCACCGTGAGAAAAAATATTTTCCTGTATACTTCTTGAATGATCCACATATTGTGAAATTCTGACAATTGTTAAATAGTCTAGATAAATTAATAATGAAAAACTTGGCCATGTACACTCCTTAAAAAATGTGTCATGTCATATAAGGCTACAAGGTTGCGCTGAACACAGTATCTCGTGTGACCGCCCCGGGCAGCAATCACGGCTCTGCATCTCCTCGGCACTGACTGGATAAGTGTGCGCCTTTCTGCTTGCAACGCGTTGGCCAGCTGTGGGAATGTCTGCGGCGTGTTCTGACGTTGACGTACACGTCGATCGAGTTCATCCCAGAGGTGTTTGATCTGGAGATCTCGATGGCCAGGGCAAGACGTTGATTTTGGCATTATGAAGATAGTCTAGTGTGACACGAGCTGTGTGCAGTGGAGCGTTGTCCTGTTAAAACAGCTCCCTCGGGCGGTCAATGATTGGAAGAAGGTGAAGTTGAAGAATTTGATTCATCTAGCGATTTGCTTTCACATTTCCCTGAACCACAACCAAGTCAGATCTCGGTGTATAGGATATGGTCCCCCGCGCCATGATACTACCGCCACCGAATTTGTCGAATTCACGTACGCAATGTTGGGCAAAACGCTCATTTCGACGATGATAAACACGTTGTCCTCCATCTCGCCGGTGAAGAAGAAATCGTGATTCATCGCTAAATCACACTCGTCTCCAGTTTCTCTAATTCCAAGGCTGTAAAGTATGGCACCAACGCATACGTCGCTGTCGATGGATCTGTTGCAAAATAGGGACGATAACTGATCTTCTGGGTCGGATTCCAGCCTCGAGAAGATGGTTCCTGACAGTCTGGTCCAATATCCTCCTCACAACAGGGATGCGTCCTGCAGTCTCCGTAGCGATGACGTAGGTGGAACAGTCGAATGTAGCGATCCTGTGCAGGGTTGGTAACTCTTGGTTGGCCGGTTGTCGGACGGTCTGCAGTGGAATTGAACTGTGTTTATCGATCACAAAGGTGGGAAATGGTGCTGTGGTGGACGTTCAAGTGGCTTGCAACAGAAGACTGCGATTCCCCTCTTTGGATACGTCCTATGGCGATGTTCCGATTGACAGCGCTGAGTCACGGCATTTTTTAACTTGAAAAATGTTGGTAATTGAATGACAAATCATTGGCTTATGCTTGCCTTTTCATAGTCACTACCACGAGTTACGAATGCCATAACTTGCACGTGCATTTTGCTTTACTGTTTTCCTCAATGACATTTTTGAACAAACGTGAAAGCAATGCCGTTTAAGACATTGCAAATCAACATAGGCTGCCTTTTGACGCACCGTTTGTCGAATATCAGGCCACCAACATTTTCCAATAACATATATCCAATTTATATACCGGATTTTTTGTGTAGTCAGGTTCAATGAACTACATACTACCTGTGCGTTTCTTTTCTTTGTTTTTGAAGAGTGTAGATATTCCACGCACTTTTATATAGAACTAAATAATAGTTAAAACACCTCTGTCATATGTACTTAAGCCCTGTGGCCTCATAAGTACTTGAAAAGAGATTGGTTGAATTTCTTGGGGAATACTTTTCTCTAAAGTAAAAGAAATTGATGACTGCTCGGTACTCGTTCGTGCCCATTCTGTGTCCATTTTGACACGGCCCCAACAGACCAAATACACTTGCAATGGACTACTCAAACAATATACTACATTGACTAGTTCACTTTGTTATGGCCCATAGTTCAAAGTTAGTCAGGGTCATAACCTTTTGACCAGCCCACATATCGTTGTAGGTCGGCGTGCTGTAAGCTTAGTTTAGTTTAACTTCAAACTCAAGTTCCACTGATCTTGGTTCTTTATAACATGTGCATTGTCACTCAGCAGTTTGTTTTGATTGTGTTTGATTCTCAAGATTTCGTAACACTATTTTGGGTTTGGACCCAACGTGTCCAAATTTCAGTTTAGAAACGTGTGTTCGTCGGTTTACATAAACAAATTGCCCTTCACCCACACTCATAGCAATTGAAAAGTACAGTCCTCCAGTGGCTGTGAGTACAAACATGTTAGTGTGATCAGTTTTCTGCTCACTGGGCTTTTGCCACACATGATCTTGTATACAATGGTCTTTTATTATATAAAAATGTTTTATTATACTGTTATGTTCATTGTCCTGTTTTAAATCGCCTACATATGTACTGTTAAGAGGACAGTGAGAAAATTACTTACAACAGATGCTACATAAGGAACGTCATTATCAAAACCTAAAAGAGATTGCAAATGTTACACTCAAACAGAGCATTGAAATATATATGTATAAACAGATGCGAAATCTATTGCTTTAACCTTGGTTGGAGTCATAGTCCATTCACTTTAGGCGATATAAATCTTATTTCGAATTTGACAACCATTCCCAATTTTAGGAATTTCCAGTTGTAGCTGCCAAAATGGCGGCTTCTCATCCAAGCGAGGAGCACCGGCCTTTGAAAAAACCAAGGCTTGGCCCTCCCGATGTCTACCCACAAGTTCCAAAACAAAAAGAAGTGAGTATTTTGTGGAAACACATTAATTGCAACTCTTCTTTTCATCCATTATGTCTTACTTAACCTTGCAATCGCCATTACAATTGACCTAGATTTACCAAAACATTGTTGACAAGAGATTTGGTGTTTCGTCTTCCAGAGCTTCAACTGTCGTGTTTTATATTAAGTTAATTTCACTAAACATATATTTAAAGAGTCCATATGTGTCACAACTGAATAGAATAGAACCTGATAGTTTAAAATTTGTTATGTCCTAAATATTCAGGAACAACTCCGGCTAAATGCAGTCTTCATGCAAAAAGTATTTCTACTCCTGAGTTCATAGATTGTATACAGCTTTCTGTGATGTTATCTGCTGTTGGAAACGTATTTTCTGAGGATTATCATTTTATAACCAAAAGAACATGATCAAATTGAATATTCATTAAGTTATTCTTCATCAAAATGGGAGCACTGTAACATACAGGGTGCGATTATATCAATCTGTTCGCCACCCAATTGTATTTAAAACATGTCTCAAGAAAATTATTAAGTAACGTATAATACATATTTACGCATGCCACTTCGATCTCTAGGGTTTGTTGTGCTAAGGTTAAGGTATGTTACCCACAAGTCTCTTCTTAGCCATTGAATAAAAATAGTGGCTAACCTATTCTATAGTGTAGATTACTTGTGGTCACAACTGTGTTTATGTACATGGACTACAGATGCAATCAGATGTTTTCTTCTTTGTCATCTCAAGGCACACACGAAAAGTGCTGCAATTTTAATAATAGAAATATGAACTTGGTATCATAATAATGCTTTATATATACCACTCGCTAGTGGTATGACACAAAGTAAAATTATTGAACATAGGAAGAATAATGTTCTGTGCAATAATTAAATATTTTGTGATACAATATCAAATAGTGTAATCTCTGTAACCTTATATACACTGAGAACACCATCGAAAGAGAAAATACTATAATTCTTTTATTTTCTTTGAACATAATACTGTTAACAAATTATTCTTATGTCCTAAGACTGCAGTGAAAGAATCTTTGATCATTATATTTCATTTACCTGAACCTCCTAAAACATAGATCATGGTCATGTTCTGATGATTAACATGATTAATACTCATTGATATGTCTTTTATCTGTGACCTATACCTGTATCATTTATCAAGAAATCTATACATATTTCACACATTCCACATTCATCAGTATTGTATGCAACCAATAAGACATTTAGATCAATAATGTGGAAAGCAGGTATTTTGACAAAATATGTTTAATTTTAAATCAATTGGAGCAAAGGCTGAATGATCATGAAATCCCAATTACCAACACATCAGTGTAATGCAATTTCTTGAATTCACCTGTCTTGTTTTTCTGTACAGGATGAACTTGATCAAGCCAGTGTCAAGCATGGGTTCAGCAACCAGTCACCGTTCTCTGATGAGGTAAGTCTGTGTCTGGGTATTTAGGAACATTTTATAACTATCTAGTCAATTGCCTTAGTTTGCCTTCAGTCTAAAGTAGGAATGGTAGTTGAATTGTAATTCATTCACCCATAAAATAAACTGTACTCGAATAACTTTTTATCCTGCCCACCTTTTCAATTATTTATCACACTGGATATGAATTTAGTATGATAACATTTCAAAATAAAATGGCTGTCTCTAATTGTAAGAGGTATTAAAAACCTTCCAGCTGAAATAACGATTCTTTAGCCTGATACAGATTGTCAAGATGTGGCGTGAATGTACAAATCTAATGACGACATCTAGATGTTACCTCAGGAGCTTCAGGGATCAGTCTAAATCAGATCTGGGGGAACCATGGTCAAGTCATCTTAGGGTTTTAAATTGCTGTGGAGAGTTTTGTTAGGCATACCATCAATTACTGAAGTACATTTCAGAGCGGAATTAACTGTCTCAAATATGTGAGTGACAAAACAGACAAGTTTGTCACTTTTGTATCCCTGGTCATATTCTTTTTCCTCTGACCCCACACACTTCCACTGATTTGCTTTTCCACTTCAGTATGGATCGGAGAAAAATGCTGACATCAATCTGGATAAGGTAAGTGAATAATATGAAAATCACTTAGTTTTTTCTTCAAGCTTCATGTCCATATTAAGTACAGAAATGTTTTTAATAGTATATTACCTTTGAATACATAATGACATACCACTACTTTCTTCAGACAACCCTGTGATATTGCTAGTATATCACCGATGCTGCGTAAAACTATCCTCTCATCACTCTTCGCATAATCTTTGTCAAATGGATTCGCCTTGAATCTGATTGTGATTATGAATGGCCACACACAGTTTTCTCTTATGACTGTGTTCAGTATTATCAGGTAATGCTTTGTTTGTGACTGCTGTCAACTTCCTCCTCAGTTCGGGACTCAGTTCAGCTCCATCATCACCAAGAAGATGGAGATCAACACATTACAAGACTCGAAGAAAAGACAGCAACCGCCGATGAAGGACAATTTCTGGCCGGTCAGTATTAGTCGACTTATGGACACACAAACAATGCAACAATTAATTAAAAATGCCAGATTAGAGATGCTCACGCATGATTCATTCTGTGTAGATACACATCGTTTCACAAATGTGATATGGTCAGTGTGTTTTGAAAGTAATGTGGATAATGAAACCAAATATTGTAATTCAACACAGGTGCTGATCAGACTACCAAACAGCTAGCCACTACTTGCATGTTATGATGATCTTTTAACAAAGTTTGGTTCATCCTTGGCATTTTCAGGCTGCAAGAAACAAGATTGCCATGGAGGCGTGGTTCAAGGATCTTTCAGGAAACAAACCACTTGCACACCTCAGTAAAAAGGTAATTAATTCCAGGCATTTCCTCCCAGCCAGTTATCTGCAGTACTTGGTTTTGTAATGATCACGCTGCACTTGTGGTGGTTATCATGACGTGAACTTGTCTTTATACTTCTTGTGTCACCTTCTGATCTGGATTTTAACAGTGAAATCTGTAAACAAAGAATTAAAACAAATCTGGCTATGAGTTGAATATATACCTCATGTAGCTCTCATTTTCCATGGGTTTATCCATGGGTTTCAGGTCCCCTGTGTTGTGTGAAGTATGAGCCTCCTTATCCACGGGGGTTCAGGTCCCCTGTGTTGTGTGAAGTAAGAGCCTCCTTATCCACGGGGGTTCAGGTCCCCTGTGTTGTGTGAAGTATGAGCCTCCTTGTCCACGGGGGTTCAGGTCCCCTCTGTTGTGTGAAGTATGAGCCTCCTTATCCACGGGGGTTCAGGTCCCCTGTGTTGTGTGAAGTATGAGCCTCCTTGTCCACGGGGGTTCAGGTCCCCTGTGTTGTGTGAAGTATGAGCCTCCTTGTCCACGGGGGTTCAGGTCCCCTGTGTTGTGTGAAGTATGAGCCTCCTTATCCACGGGGGTTCAGGTCCCCTGTGTTGTGTGAAGTATGAGCCTCCTTATCCATGGGGGTTCAGGTCCCCTGTGTTGTGTGAAGTAAGAGCCTCCTTATCCACGGGGGTTCAGGGTGAGGTCCCCAGTACTGTGTGAAGTATGAGCCTCCTTATCCACGGGGGTTCAGGGTGAGGTCCCCAGTACTGTGTGAAGTATTAGCCTCCTTATCCACGGGGGTTCAGGGTGAGGTCCCCAGTACTGTGTGTAGTATGAGCCTCCTTATCCACGGGGGTTCAGGGTCAGGTCCCCAGTACTGTGTGAAGTATGAGCCTCCTTATCCACGGGGGTTCAGGGTGAGGTCCCCAGTACTGTGTGTCGTATGAGCCTCCTTATCCACGGGTGTTCAGGGTGAGGTCCCCAGTACTGTGTGTCGTATGAGCCTCCTTATCCACGGGGGTTCAGGGTCAGGTCCCCAGTACTGTGTGAAGTATGAGCCTCCTTATCCACGGGGGTTCAGGGTGAGGTCCCCAGTACTGTGTGTCGTATGAGCCTCCTTATCCACGGGTGTTCAGGGTGAGGTCCCCAGTACTGTGTGTCGTATGAGCCTCCTTATCCACGGGGGTTCAGGGTCAGGTCCCCAGTACTGTGTGTCGTATGAGTCTCCTCTTCCACGGGGGTTCAGGGTGAGGTCCCCAGTGTTGTGTGAACTATGAGCCTCCTTATCTACGGGGGTTCAGTGTGAGGTCCCCAGTATGATGTGTAGTATGAGCCTCCTTATCCACGGGGGTTCAGGGTGAGGTCCCCAGTACTGTGTATAGTATTAGCCTCCTTATCCACGGGGGTTCAGGGTGAGGTCTCCAGTATGGTGTGTAGTATGAGCCTCCTTATCCACGGGGGTTCAGGGTGAGGTCCCTAGTGTTGTGTGAAGTATGAGCCTCCTTATCCACTGGGGTTCAGGGTGAGGTCACCAGTGTTGTGTGTAGTAAGAATTGATGCGACATGGAATCGGATACAGCAGCCCTCAATGATGACATGTATGACATAACTATGGCTATTACTGCTAGCAGTCCTAAAAGGCGTTTATTAGATGCAGATGTTGGTGGGCATTGTGGAATCAGAGAATTCAGCTACGGGATGCGAGGCATTAAGATTACTTCATCTACTAGGAATGTGTCTGATAGTATTAAATGAATTAGAAATCTAGGCGAATGCTTGAAACAAACATTGGAATAATGCAAAAAGGCAGCAGCAGTATTGTTTCAGGTAATTGGCTATGCAAATTCCAGTGATGGTCTTTCGACAAGGGTAATTGTTCAATGACTTGTCTTTATTGCAGCAAGTTTTCAAATGTGGCTGCTTACAGTTTGAAATGGGACCATGAAAATATTGCCAGGAGCCAGGTAGCTTCCAGGGAAACATCTCAGCTTGGGGCATGTGGGGTGCTGTACATGCTGTGAGACGTCGACGATTGTTTGCACACATACCCAGAGGGGTTGATACTTATACTGTCAACAAGTGTCCATACCTTGCATCACCTAAAGCTTTCCTTCCAGTTTTAGCACCTGCGTCATGACATACAGGCAGACACAATTTTGTCAAAGTTGAAGGCACCTATGTAAATACTTTGAGTTGTGAAATAAATGTTGACTGATCAGAGTATATTTTGTGCTGAAAGTACATGTTTGGAACTGGAAAATAACTTTGACTCAACCTTAAGATCAACATATCTGATTTTACACATCAGAGGTTAAATGATGATGGATAAAGCAGGAATACACAGGGACCAATGTTTTACTTTGAGATGGCCATACTTTTGACACAACAGTGTTTGACTGTAATTGAAATACTGTTAATAGCAGCGTGATCCAGTCCATACTTAATAATTTAGAGGCTGGTGGAAAAGAGCTTAAATAATGATGACAAGACATATGTCCTTTTGCGTGTACCTTGTTGAGGTGGTTCTTGAATATAATTTTCAATGGTTTAAGGCTCTACAACTGACTATTAGGAATTGGCAGCTGTTGTGGCCATTCCTCGCGTGTTAAGCTGAAATTCAGTTCAAAGTGACGTAAACCCCAGTCAATGTATATTATTTCTGTGACTTGTTTGTTCAGGTCCCCACCTTCAACAAGAAGGAGGAGACGTTCACAACGCTGTGTGACTTCGCTGTTCCCATGGTGCGAGCAGCCTGGTACATCAAGATGACCACAGCACACAACATGGCCTCAAATGAAACTCGGAGGAAGAAACAAGCCCCGGATCTGTCCCTAGGTGAACAAGAGAGGCTACATGCCTAACAATAGGTTCTGGCCAGATGGACGGGGCTTCAGCAGCCTTGTCGATACCACAGGATTTCAATGTTTATCGTAGTCATCACAATCAAATAGTTTTTTAAATGAGTGAAATTTTACAATTGACCAACTGATGGATATAGATATAACGAACTGTCTTTTTTGGTCTGTGCAATTTTCTGTATATATACTGTATACATGCTTATTACGAACTACGGTTATAACGCCCGTGTTCCCCCTGGCTTTTGAAACTGCCAGTCCTTGTGGATAGGCAACTCTAAAAATTACCAGTCCCCACTAATTTTTGCGTCCCAACTTTCAACAAATGAAAAAATGTATGAAAATTATTTAGTTTTAATTCTTTCAACATCATGTTCAGTGCAAAGATGTCATCTCTGAAGTAACTTAGTTACGTCATTCACACAAACTTCAGACACAATTTTCTCTCTCTTTTTTTAATATTTTGAGACAAAGTCGCCACAAATGGATATTTAATCGAGAAATAGACAAGGGGAAACCCTGATGGTAACAGTCAAGCTGACTTTGTTTGAAAAATGTACTTATATCAATAACACCAATGTTTTGTTCAACAACAAAGATTTATAAGGTACTTTATTTGCCGGTCCACAGGGACTGGCAGTCACATGAATAACCGGTCCAAGCCTAATTTTACCGGTTCAAAAACTGGTAATTACCGGTAAACAGGAACACTGGAACTAGAATTAGAACTCCCTTTGAGTTTGTTATATCCGTAGTTTACTGTATCATTATTTATCAATTTTTTAACTTATCCTGCATTACTCCGTATTGCATTTACTGCTATGTTTGACAGAGAGACGAACTGTGTGAGATCCAGCTGCTGAAGAAAGTTGTCCCAACCAGCCCAGGAGGCAGCGCCCTCTCACAGTCGGCACGTGACCCAGAAGTCATGACGTCACACCAAAAGACATAACTGCTTTGTCACCTCCACGGACGGACGTACTTTGTATCCCTTGTGGAAATTAAAGCTTATTATTTGTTTTTTATATTTTGCGTGTTTCTACATTCATTATATGCTGCTACATTGTTACCTGTTATGGGCCGTGACCTTAGGGTCTTCCCATTCGTAAATTGTAACGTTTATCGCTCGTCTGTGGCTCACGTCACAGTAATTTACGGGCGCAATGTTGTTCCCGCTCCCGGCGCTCCCGGCGATCCCGGCGCCTCCGATGACTCGGCGCCTCTGATGACGCGGCGCTCCCGGCGCCTCCGATGACGCGGCGCTCCCGGCGCCTCCGATGTCTCGGCGCTCCCGGCGCCTCCGGCGCTTCCGATGACTCGGCGCCTCTGATGACTCGGCGCCGCTGATGTCTCGGCGCTCAACAAGCTTCATGACTTGTTCATGACAAGCTGATGACTCGGCGCTCCCGGCGCCTCCGATGACTCGGCGCCACCGGCGCCTCTGATGACTCGGGGCCGCTGATGTCTCGGCGCCTCCGGCGCCTCTGATGTCTCCGCGCTCCGGCGCCTCCGCATCCTCTGATGTCTTCGGCGCTCAACAAGCTCAGATCAACGAGCCGACCATCCGATCTTCTACTGCGGCTTAAGGGGCACCATCCGCAATCGCCTCCCCGGCGCCACTGCCCTCTTCTCTTGCTGCCGTCTCATAACTCGTTCCTTGCCTCCAGCCTAGAGGGCTCTCCTGCGTTTCGCATTCGCTCTTGGGATTGGTCGTAGATTTTGCCGCCGACGCCGCTGATTCTTCGATTCCCCGAGCGGGGCCCGTCGAACTCTCTGGTGTTTATCACCTCAGATTAGAGGGTTCTACTGCGTTTCGCTTTCGCTCTTCGGTAAGTTATATATTTTGGCTACACGCCTCATTGTATTTCGGTTACCTATTCGGGCGTTTCGTTTTTGCATCGACTCTTGTTTCCTGAAGACAGGAATGGTCGTAGATGTTCCGGTCATCACTTGTATGCGGTGCGGATTCATCGGACCTTGACGAGGGTTTAATATGGTTCACATCTGCAGGTATGCCCACCGGCCAAGCCGTCTGATAAAGATGCAATACGGAGTAATGCAGGTTAAGTTAAAAAATTTAGTAAAATCTAAATATTTTTTACATTTGTATACTTATCCTGCATTACGAAGTCTAAGTGCCCTCCCTTTCGCTACGCTACCTCCCCACGAAGTTTCAGATGTTATGTTTAAAGCAGTTATGTCTTTTGGTGTGACGTCATGACTTCTGGGTCACGTGCCGACTGTGAGAGGGCGCTGCCTCCTGGGCTGGTTGGGACAACTTTCTTCAGCAGCTGGATCTCACACAGTTCGTCTCTCTGTCAAACATAGCAGTAAATGCAATACGGAGTAATGCAGGATAAGTATACAAATGTAAAAAATATTTAGATTTTACTAAAATTGCGATGTGAGTGAGTTTATCCTTTCTCACTTAAATGTTTGTGCGTCACAGCATGGACACAGGCGATCACCAAGTTCCTGTATGAGCAACTACAGAAGATTCAAGATGCATATGGTGGCGGTGGCGCCCCTCAGACCAGCTTCCTCACAGCAACACAGCCCCCGGCGCAGGTCGACCTGGAGCCCGCTCTCAAACACTTCCACTACACGTGCCGCTTGGCTAAACACAAGTTTAACGTAAGTAACTCAGGCTTTAGTGCCATGTCCGGATTACAATTGGTCTTCATCAGTCCATGTTTGCCATAAGAGGCGACTTATGGGATCGGGTGGTCAGGCTCGCTGCCTTGGTTGATGCATGTCATCGTATCGCAATTGGTCCAAACTCGATTATTTACAGACCACTTTCATATAGCTGAACTATTGCTGAGTGTGGCGTTTAACAACAACAAAAACACTGGGGCTGCCTCTGTGGTCTAGTAGTAGAGTGTCTGCCCAGAGAGCGGAAGGTCGGGGGTTCGATCCCTGGCCACGTCATACCAAAAGATGTTAATAGATGGTACTTGTTGTTTCCCTTGACTGACGCTCTGCATTAAGGGGCCAACACAAAGACCGCTTGGCTCGGAGTCAGTATGCTGTGTCTGAGTGGGGTATTCATGTTAAACTGCGGCATGGTATTCTCAGTGGGCTGGCACTATAAAGTCGGCATTAGTCTGAACTAGTACAAGCAACCTCACACATAAGCACACGCACCACACACCACATACACACACACATGCATGCACATCGCGATGTGAGAGCAACAATCTTGAATGCGATGTAAAGCCCCATTCACCTCACCTCCTCTGTAGGCTAACAGGTATTTGATGTTTTGTTCTTCAGGAGGGTCTTCTGGACCACCAGGAGTTCCTCAACTGGCTCATCGAGCTCCTGGACAAGATCAAACAGAATGATGACACGGTTCTCAAACTCATCCTAGCTCAGATTGTTCAGGTGAGTGATGTTACAGTATCTTAAGAGCATCATCTCTGATACACCTCCAAGCTTTCAAAATGAGTGTTTTTAGGCTTTAAGTTACTGTTGGGAGGCATTTATATGTCAACACATTTCATGTTTTGTTTTTCAGTACCTGGATGAGGTGACACTGTCTGCACTGTTGTCACGGAAACTGGCATACTTCTGTAGTCGGAAGCTGGCCCAGCTGTGCAGTGAGTCGGGCTGCACCTCGCCCCGCACACAGTCCCCCATGCTGACTACTAATGGCAATGGGTAAGTCTTTGTCAACAAATTTAGGCAATCCTTCATTCTGATTAGGATCAAGTGGTTATCACGTCTGTTTATCAAATTGACAGTATATTCTGGTCCAATATTAAAAAATGGTCCCAGCAATGGCCATGTTGGAAATGTTGTTTATATTCGCTTCTGAGCCATTTCTGCATAAAATGTGGTATGCATTGTATTACATAACCTCTTTATTGTCATGCTACTATACTGACTGTTATTATGTATTATTTCTACCCAAACTCCTAAAACAAATCAAGTGTATAAACGTGTTGACTCACTGAACCCAGGACCATTATTGCGCACTAGACCACTTGGAAGAAGCATGCTGTACTATGTCCAGTGCGTTCTTTGCATGAATGGGAGGTGGGGGGTAGTGTGGTCGGGTAGCCTAGTGGTTAAAGCGTTCGCTCGTCACGCTGAAGACCTGGGTTCGATTCCCGACATGAGTACATTGTGTGAAGCCCATTTCTGGTGTCCCCCGCCTTGATTTTACTGGAATATTGCTAAAAGGGGCGTATAGCCATACTCACTCGCATGAATGGACACTTCTTGATTGTGTGCCTCTATGGCCTTATCCTCGAGTATCCAGTGTATCATATCTCTATCGCCATCATAGCTTTGTTTGAGAAGTGATGTCAGTATCCCTGTCTCTCTTTTCACTAACTTGGTACATATTTTCTCAACCTCATTAAAATCAGATCTTAGTTATCGCTATCGCTAAACAAAGATCTGAGGACATACCATTACGGGTCACGTCAGACCGACCTTTCACAAACTTTGACCGACCAATGGAATGACTGACAAGAAGTCGACATTAGCCAATCAGAAGGCAGCTTCCTCGTGCTTTACGGCACTAATTTCAAATTGGCGACTACGCTTCAAAACATATTTTGACAAATTCTCGATTAAAAATTTGAAACCTGAACAAAGGAACATTCTGGTATGGCTAATATATGGTCTAGATTGTATGGATTCAGTCGGTTAGCCCATAATAATCGTTCGGAATTCCCCGTGTTAAAGTTTTCAACCTTTCCATGATTAGAAATCACATTCAGACTGTCACTTTCATGATCTGGTAAGCGAAGCTCTTATTGGTCGAACAAAAGGTCGTTCTGACGTGACCCCTAATGGGATGTCCTCAGATCTTTGTTTGCGGTAGCGAGAACTAAGATCTGATTTTAATGAGATTGATATTTTCTATGTCATACCGTTCAGATCGGGCTTAAGGCGAAGCTGTGGTAGAGAATGGGTGCAGGATTTTCATCATGACTAAATGGTGACATAATACACTGAATAACCATGAAGGACCTATGTGTTACCATTGGAAGGGTGATTGTTCAACACTGAAACCATGCCAACTTTCTTTCAGAACCATCACTACAACTAGCACCAACCAGTACATCGCCAGTCCCATGGCAGTGATGTTTGCCGAGCTCAGTGGCTGCCCTCAACACCGGAGCCTCATTCTGAACCTGTCGGCCATCCTCCAGCGCCTCACACTGAAGTGCCCCACGGGCATTATATGGAATAACCTGGGGGAGGGAAAGATCACATCCTTCCTGTGTGGGTCCCCCTTGGACCATCTTGTGTGTGCCCCCTCTAGTCTGCCCATGCTGCCCGGCCCACACAATCAACAGGTCAGTGTCAGGAAGTGAGCAGGGATGATTAGAGATTCAACACTACATGCCCTTGTCAGACAAATGCTTGTGGTATTAATTTCATGTAATTCATTCGTGTAAAATTAAGCAGCTTTGGTTACCTCGACCAAGTCATTGTTTTTGTTACTATATTAACATGAATTGGGAATCATTTTTTCCCATTGGGAATGTTTGCTGACATTTGCTGCAGACATGGGGCTGAATATCAGCCCTTGAGCAGATCCATAGGTGATATGGGGTAGAATAAACCCATTTCACTTATATAGACTTGGGAGTCAAAATTGGGGATTGGGTGCTGATCCTACAGATGGGATGTGGACAGGCTGCTACCAGTACTGTGTCTGGCCAGACTGGGATGTAGACAGGCTGCTACCAAGACTCTGTCTGGCCAGACTGGGATGTAGACAGGCTGGGATTTGGACAGTCTGCTACCAGTACTCTGTCTGGCCAGACTGGGATGTAGACAGGCTGGGATGTGGACAGGCTGCTACCAGTACTCTGTCTGGCCAGACTGGGATGTAGACAGGCTGGGATGTGGACAGGCTGCTACCAGTACTGTGTCTGGCCAGACTGGGATGTAGACAGGCTGCTACCAGTACTCTGTCTGGCCAGACTGGGATGTAGACAGGCTGCTACCAGTACTCTGTCTGGCCAGACTGGGATGTAGACAGTCTGCTACCAGTACTGTCTGGCCAGACTGGGATGTGGACAGGCTGCTACCAGTACTCTGTCTGGCAAGACTGGGATGTAGACAGGCTGGGATTTGGACAGGCTGCTACCAGTACTCTGTCTGGCCAGACTGGGATGTGGACAGGCTGCTACCAGTACTCTGTCTGGCCAGACTGGGATGTGGACAGGCTGCTGCCAGAACTCTGTCTTTCAGAATGGGATGTGGACAGTCTGCTACCAGTACTCTGTCTGGCCAGACTGGGATGTGGACAGGCTGCTACCAGTACTCTGTCTGGCCAGACTGGGATGTCGACAGGCTGCTACCAGTACTCTGTCTGGCCAGACTGGGATGTAGACAGGCTGGGATGTGGACAGTCTGCTACCAGTACTCTGTCTGGCCAGACTGGGATGTGGACAGGCTGCTACCAGTACTCTGTCTGGCCAGACTGGGATGTGGACAGTCTGCTACCAGTACTCTGTCTGGCCAGACTGGGATGTAGACAGTCTGCTACCAGTACTCTATCTGGCCAGACTGGGATGTCGACAGGCTGCTACCAGTACTCTGTCTGGCAAGACTGGGATGTAGACAGGCTGGGATTTGGACAGGCTGCTACCAGTACTCTGTCTGGCCAGACTGGGATGTGGACAGGCTGCTACCAGTACTCTGTCTGGCCAGACTGAGATGTAGACAGGCTGCTACCAGTACTCTGTCTGGCCAGACTGGGATGTGGACAGGCTGCTGCCAGAACTCTGTCTTTCAGAATGGGATGTAGACAGGCTGCTTCCAGTACTGTCTGGCCAGACTGGGATGTAGAAGGGCTCCTACCAGTACTCTGTCTGGCCAGACTGGGATGTAGACAGGCTGCTACCAGAACTCTGTCTTTCAGACTGGGATGTAGACAGGCTGCTACCAGTACTCTGTCTGGCCAGACTGGGATGTAGACAGGCTGCTACCAGTACTCTGTCTGGCCAGACTGGGATGTGGACAGGCTGCTACCAGTACTCTGTCTGGCCAGACTGGGATGTAGACAGGCTGGGATGTGGACAGTCTGCTACCAGTACTCTGTCTGGCCAGACTGGGATGTGGACAGGCTGCTACCAGTACTGTCTGGCCAGACTGAGATGTAGACAGGCTGCTACCAGTACTCTGTCTGGCCAGACTGGGATGTAGACAGGCTGCTACCAGTACTCTGTCTGGCCAGACTGGGATGTAGACAGGCTGCTACCAGTACTCTGTCTGGCCAGACTGGGATGTAGACAGGCTGCTACCAGTACTCTGTCTGGCCAGACTGGGATGTGTGTGGACAGTCTGCTACCAGTACTCTGTCTGGCCAGACTGGGATGTGGACAGGCTGCTACCAGTACTCTGTCTGGCCAGACTGGGATGTAGACAGGCTGGGATGTGGACAGGCTGCTACCAGTACTCTGTCTGGCCAGACTGGGATGTAGACAGGCTGCTACCAGTACTCTGTCCGGCCAGACTGGGATGTGTGTGGACAGGCTGCTACCAGTACTCTGTCTGGCCAGGCTTGGATGTAGACAGGCTGCTACCAGTACTGTGTCTGGTCAGACGGATGTGGACAGTCTGGGATGTGGACAGTCTGCTACCAGTACTCTGCCAGACTGGGATGTGGACAGGCTGCTACCAGTACTCTGTCTGGCCAGACTGGGATGTGGACAGTCTGGGATGTGGACAGGCTTCTACCAGTACCCTGTCTGGCCAGACTGTGATGTTGACAGGCTGCTACCAGTCAGGGATGTGAAATCTCCGCGGAAACGCGGAAAATCGCGTTTTTTAAAACAGTAGTCCTCGGAAAAAATCATCTTCCGCGGAAAAAATTATTAAAAATTTAAAAAAAAACACGCCGAAAAATATGATCGAAAACCGGACAATTGGCGCGGATTGTCCTTTTTTCGATCGGAGCTTTCACAGCATAGGTTTTCGGACATCATACGTTTTCTGTCACGAATACTTGCACTATAACGTGGGGCATGGCGTCACACAGAAATTGTAAATACTCACAGAGTCAGCTGATGGCTTGTTTTTAAGATAAAGTTGTCTTTTAGCCTGTAAGTGAATGAGATGTTTTACAGTTGTTCATGTGATAAGCAAGAAATTTATGAATGTTTCTTCAGCGTCCAAAACCCCATGTCATGGGGATATATATTGTATTAATGTCTTATGTTTGCAATGGAGTTTTGTTTTTTTCATCAAAAGGTAAGTACAAGCTAAGTTTTTTTCAATATGCTTCAACATGGGGAAAGGGTCAGACATTGCACACTTGTGACAGTTGTCCTTGTGTCTGGGGGATGGGATTGAAGTTTATGGCAGTATAGACTCCCAGACCTGGCGGGTAGCCAGGTGCGCGAAAGCTATGCCCGATTTCTTTAAAGTACTGATTTAACTTCAAAATTTTACTGCATCTGCCATCTTGTTTATTTTACTTATTGACTTATTACATTTCTTGGTGTGAATGTTGTCCAAACTGCATGAAATTGCTTAAAATGCAATCAAATGTTTTAAAAATTTCTGGGGGGGCATACCCCCAGACCCCCCTAGACTTTTCCTCTTTTTTCAGCAAAACCTGCTCACATCCCTGTACCAGTACTCTGTCTGGCCAGACTGGGATTTGGACAGGCTGCTACCAGTACTCTGTCTGGCCAGACTGGGATGTGGACAGGCTGCTACCAGTACTCTGTCTGGCCAGACTGGGTTGTGGACAGGCTGCTACAAGTACTTTGGCTGGTCAGACTTGACTGTTTACAGGCTGACAGGCTGTCTTGCTTCCATGCCTTTAGATATTTTTTTATCAGTGATTCCTTTTCCCTTGTCATAATATGTTGGCAATGCTTGTAGATCCGTGCCCAGATCCGAGCCTCGGAACACCAGATCAAACTGCGGGGGAAGGGAGCCGAGGTGCGGTGGTCATCAGACAAGTGTCAACAATCGGCCAAAGGTAGGAGTCGTAGCAGTATTAACCTGATCAGGGGTGATGTCTCACCCAGCCTTGATTATTTGCAGACTTGTGGATATGGCTGCAATATTGTTGTGAAAAACAACATGCATTCACACACTCATTCACTGTGATAAACTTTGTTTGACAAGATGGAGTACTGTTGTTGCAGGTTTTGTGATCAGCAAAGTCCTCCATGTACTGGATAACCTGGACAAACACCACTTTGACAAGGTCGACGTCAACAACTCATTTGATGTCCTCTACCAGAAAATATTCTCCATCAACCAAACCAAAGATGGCAATGAGGTGAGGAACTGATGTGACTGTTTTCCTACTTGTTTTGAAATTATTCATTCTACCCTGTTCAATCTCATTAAAATCAGATCTCAGTCCTCGCTGCCGCTAAACAAAGATCTGAGGACATCCCATTTGGGGTCACATCAGAACGACCTTTCATCTGACCAATCAGAGCATCGCTTACCAGATCATGAAAGTGACAGTCGGAATGTGATTTTGATTCATGCAACCTCAAAAACTTTAACACAGGGTATTCCGAACGATAGTTACTGGTTTAACGACTGAATCCATACAATCTAGACCATATATTTGGCATTCCAAAATGTTCTTTTGTTCAGGTTTCAATTTTTTCATCGAGAATTTGTCAAAATATGTTTCGAAGCGTAGTCGCCAATTTGAATTGAGTGCCTTAAAGCACAAGAAAGCTCCCTTCTGATTAGCAGATGTCAACTTCTTGTTAGTCCTTCCATTGGTTGGTCAAAATTCGCGCAAGGTCGGTCTGATGTGACCCGTAATAGGATGTCCTCTGATCTTTGTTTAGCGATAGTGAGAACTAAGATCTGATTTTAATGAGATTGTTCCCTGTTGAACTTGCAAAGATTGTTCCGAAGAGAAAAATAGGAGTGAGCTAATGGCAGATTTTTCGTGTATTTCAGCCAATGTTGGGAGACGAGCCTATCATCAAGCTGCTCATTGACTGGGCAGTGACGACACAACGCACAGGGGATCATAGGTCTGTGGTCGCAGCTAAGCTGCTGGAACGCAGGCAGAATGAGCTCAGAGCAGAGGTAAATACTGTGACGCTGTTAGGTCAACAAGAAACAATCTCAGTTATCAGAGGTACAGATCGATACTGACAGCATTTTATGACAAAAATATATTCATAAAAAATAATTTGTAATATGAGCGACACATTATTTCACATTGAAATCTCTACTAAGTTTTCCAAAGAATTTTTTTAAATAATGTTGGTTGGTGAGGGCATGCTGTTTCAACTTCAAACTTCAGGAACAAGTTTTAGTCAAGGGATGACATTTCCTGTCATGTTTTCTCAGGAAACAGAAGGGCATGGTACCTGTAATGCCGTATAAGTAGTAAATATAAAATATATTAGATGTTAATAATTTCTGGCCACATGGATGAGTGGACACAATATTTTTTCTATACCCTTGTCAGTCAATGGAGGAGAGGTGTTTGTCCGATCGTGTGCTTATACCCTGACACTGGGCATCCATCATTGCTCAAGCTGTCACTCTCCGTGTGATCCAGTACAGGCTTCACAGTTAACAGGCTGTCATAAAACAACACTCATCCTTGCCTTCTTATAAACACCGACTTGGACTTTGCAGAAGTATGGTGATACCGACATGATGGAGGACAAGGATTCGATCGGCTCGGACCAGATGATTCCCCCGGGGCTGCCTGCCTTCCAGTCCCTGCTGATGGAGTTCCTCGACACCCAGGCCCCAGTGCTAGGTACACATGAGGGTATTGACCTCCATAAACGAAATAGATGTGCAGGCATATTTTTCTGAATTGATTAAGTTTGTTGAAAAGTTGGTTGACAGATTTTTTTCAAGAACATAGGTTTGGTGGTTGAAAGAAAAAATGAGTCAGGATAAGTATAAATGATATTTTTACTCTAAAGAATACATAATGTAAATATTTCTTGCTGACTGATGTAAAACAACATTCATTCACAGCCCAACCTTCCCACTCATACACACACTTTCTCTGGATGAAGGCGATTTCATTGAGTCATCATACACATAGACCATCTCTCACTTGCATAACCTGTCTGCATAGCCTTGATTGTCTTCATTACTTTACAGACCACACTGAATGTTCCAACTACATTACCTCAAGTGTGTCTGATTACTGTTTTAGATGAAAATCCAACTGAAGAAAACAAGCAAGCATTCCGGAACCTGATTCACCTGTTCTCTGAGCTGATTCGCCATGACGTGTTTTCCCACGATGCCTACATGTGTACACTGATCTCCCGTGGCGACCTCCTGTCTTCCCCCGCTGTCATGATGCCCTCTGCAGACAGCGTGGACCTCCCTAGCATCAAGAGTCAGAACGAGAGCATCAAGCATGAGGTGAGGGGTCCCAGCTGGCACTGCCAACAAACAAGTTTACAGAATATTACATGAGATCAAAGTGTCCTTTCACATTGAAACAAATCTAATTTCACAGCCAGTTAAGAGCCACACTGTCCCTACTTGATGTCTGAAGATTTCACCGCATATAACCTACAGCTCGTTATGAACAGCCTTGGCACTAGTTTGTGAAGTGGTTTTGAAAAGGCTTGTTTGTTTCCCTCAGCATCAAGATGACATCAAGGTGGACATGGACATTGGGGCGCTGATGGACACAGACTTCAACACTCTGTTTGGCTCAGTCAAGGATGAACAAAAGTCCAGCCCAGAGCCACCAGGTGGGTACACTGACACTGTCTGCTCCATGTAGTGACAGCCTGGATGGGGGAATCAGGTTGTATACATGTGTGGTCAGTGGGTGCCTTGTTGTATTTGACAGACTGGATGGGGGAATCAGGTTGTATACATGTGTGGTCAGTGGGTGCCTTGTTGTAGTGACAGACTGGATGGGGGAATCAGGTTGTATACATGTGTGGTCAGTGCCTTGTTGTAGTGACAGACTGGATGGGGGGGATCAGGTTGTATACATGTGTGGTCAGTGGGTGCCTTGTTGTAGTGACAGACTGGATGGGGGGAATCAGGTTGTATACATGTGTGGTCAGTGGGTGCCTTGTTGTAGTGACAGACTGGATGGGGGAATCAGGTTGTATACATGTGTGGTCAGTGCCTTGTTGTAGTGACAGACTGGATGGGGGGGAATCAGGTTGTATACATGTGTGGTCAGTGCCTTGTTGTAGTGACAGACTGGATGTGGGAATCAGGTTGTATACATGTGTGGTCAGTGGGTGCCTTGTTGTAGTGACAGACTGGATGGGGGGGAATCAGGTTGTATAAATGTGTGGTCAGTGCCTTGTTGTAGTGACAGACTGGATGTGGGAATCAGGTTGTATACATGTGTGGTCAGTGGGTGCCTTGTTGTAGTGACAGACTGGATGGGGGGAATCAGGTTGTATACATGTGTGGTCAGTGGGTGCCTTGTTGTAGTGACAGACTGGGTGGGGGAATCAGGTTGTATACATGTGTGGTCAGTGGGTGCCTTGTTGTAGTGACAGACTGGGTGGGGGAATCAGGTTGTATACATGTGTGGTCAGTGGGTGCCTTGTTGTAGTGACAGACTGTATGGGGGGGAATCAGGTTGTATACATGTGTGGTCAGTGCCTTGTTGTAGTGACAGACTGGATGGGGGGAATCAGGTTGTATACATGTGTGGTCAGTGGGTGCCTTGTTGTAGTGATAGACTGGATGAGGGAATCAGGTTGTATACATGTGTGGTCAGTGGGTGCCTTGTTGTAGTGACAGACTGGATGGGGGAATCAGGTTGTATACATGTGTGGTCAGTGGGTGCCTTGTTGTAGTGACAGACTGGATGTGGGAATCAGGTTGTATACATGTGTGGTCAGTGGGTGCCTTGTTGTAGTGACAGACTGGGTGGGGGAATCAGGTTGTATACATGTGTGGTCAGTGGGTGCCTTGTTGTAGTGACAGACTGTATGGGGGGGAATCAGGTTGTATACATGTGTGGTCAGTGCCTTGTTGTAGTGACAGACTGGATGTGGGAATCAGGTTGTATACATGTGTGGTCAGTGGGTGCCTTGTTGTAGTGACAGACTGGATGGGGGGAATCAGGTTGTATACATGTGTGGTCAGTGGGTGCCTTGTTGTAGTGACAGACTGTATGGGGGGGAATCAGGTTGTATACATGTGTGGTCAGTGCCTTGTTGTAGTGACAGACTGGATGGGGGGAATCAGGTTGTATACATGTGTGGTCAGTGCCTTGTTGTAGTGACAGACTGGGTGGGGAATCAGGTTGTATACATGTGTGGTCAGTGGGTGCCTTGTTGTAGTGACAGACTGGGTGGGGGAATCAGGTTGTATACATGTGTGGTCAGTGGGTGCCTTGTTGTAGTGACAGACTGTATGGGGGGGAATCAGGTTGTATACATGTGTGGTCAGTGGGTGCCTTGTTGTAGTGACAGACTGGATGTGGGAATCAGGTTGTATACATGTGTGGTCAGTGGGTGCCTTGTTGTAGTGACAGACTGTATGGGGGGGAATCAGGTTGTATACATGTGTGGTCAGTGGGTGCCTTGTTGTAGTGACAGACTGTATGGGGGGGAATCAGGTTGTATACATGTGTGGTCAGTGCCTTGTTGTAGTGACAGACTGGATGGGGGGAATCAGGTTGTATACATGTGTGGTCAGTGCCTTGTTGTAGTGACAGACTGGGTGGGGAATCAGGTTGTATACATGTGTGGTCAGTGGGTGCCTTGTTGTAGTGACAGACTGGGTGGGGGAATCAGGTTGTATACATGTGTGGTCAGTGGGTGCCTTGTTGTAGTGACAGACTGGGTGGGGGAATCAGGTTGTATACATGTGTGGTCAGTGGGTGCCTTGTTGTAGTGACAGACTGTATGGGGGGGAATCAGGTTGTATACATGTGTGGTCAGTGCCTTGTTGTAGTGACAGACTGGATGGGGGGAATCAGGTTGTATACATGTGTGGTCAGTGCCTTGTTGTAGTGATAGACTGGATGAGGGAATCAGGTTGTATACATGTGTGGTCAGTGCCTTGTTGTAGTGACAGACTGTATGGGGGGGAATCAGGTTGTATACATGTGTGGTCAGTGGGTGCCTTGTTGTAGTGACAGACTGTATGGGGGGGAATCAGGTTGTATACATGTGTGGTCAGTGCCTTGTTGTAGTGACAGACTGGATGGGGGGAATCAGGTTGTATACATGTGTGGTCAGTGCCTTGTTGTAGTGACAGACTGGGTGGGGAATCAGGTTGTATACATGTGTGGTCAGTGGGTGCCTTGTTGTAGTGACAGACTGGGTGGGGGGAATCAGGTTGTATACATGTGTGGTCAGTGGGTGCCTTGTTGTAGTGACAGACTGGGTGGGGGAATCAGGTTGTATACATGTGTGGTCAGTGGGTGCCTTGTTGTAGTGACAGACTGGGTGGGGGAATCAGGTTGTATACATGTGTGGTCAGTGGGTGCCTTGTTGTAGTGACAGACTGGATGAGGGAATCAGGTTGTATACATGTGTGGTCAGTGGGTGCCTTGTTGTAGTGACAGACTGGGTGGGGGGAATCAGGTTGTATAAATGTGTGGTCAGTGGGTGCCTTGTTGTAGTGACAGATTGGATGTGGGAATCAGGTTGTATACATGTGTGGTCAGTGGGTGCCTTGTTGTAGTGACAGACTGGGTGGGGGGAATCAGGTTGTATACATGTGTGGTCAGTGCCTTGTTGTAGTGACAGACTGGGTGGGGGAATCAGGTTGTATACATGTGTGGTCAGTGGGTGCCTTGTTGTAGTGACAGACTGGGTGGGGGGAATCAGGTTGTATAAATGTGTGGTCAGTGGGTGCCTTGTTGTAGTGACAGATTGGATGTGGGAATCAGGTTGTATACATGTGTGGTCAGTGGGTGCCTTGTTGTAGTGACAGACTGGGTGGGGGGAATCAGGTTGTATACATGTGTGGTCAGTGCCTTGTTGTAGTGACAGACTGGATGGGGGAATCAGGTTGTATACATGTGTGGTCAGTGGGTGCCTTGTTGTAGTGACAGACTGGGTGGGGGAATCAGGTTGTATACATGTGTGGTCAGTGGGTGCCTTGTTGTAGTGACAGACTGGATGAGGGAATCAGGTTGTATACATGTGTGGTCAGTGGGTGCCTTGTTGTAGTGACAGACTGGATGTGGGAATCAGGTTGTATACATGTGTGGTCAGTGGGTGCCTTGTTGTAGTGACAGACTGTATGGGGGGGAATCAGGTTGTATACATGTGTGGTCAGTGCCTTGTTGTAGTGACAGACTGTATGGGGGGGAATCAGGTTGTATACATGTGTGGTCAGTGCCTTGTTGTAGTGACAGACTGGATGGGGGGAATCAGGTTGTATACATGTGTGGTCAGTGGGTGCCTTGTTGTAGTGACAGACTGGATGGGGGAATCAGGTTGTATACATGTGTGGTCAGTGCCTTGTTGTAGTGACAGACTGGGTGGGGGAATCAGGTTGTATACATGTGTGGTCAGTGCCTTGTTGTAGTGACAGACTGGATGGGGGAATCAGGTTGTATACATGTGTGGTCAGTGGGTGCCTTGTTGTAGTGACAGACTGGATGAGGGAATCAGGTTGTATACATGTGTGGTCAGTGGGTGCCTTGTTGTAGTGACAGACTGGATGGGGGAATCAGGTTGTATACATGTGTGGTCAGTGGGTGCCTTGTTGTAGTGACAGACTGTATGGGGGGGAATCAGGTTGTATACATGTGTGGTCAGTGGGTGCCTTGTTGTAGTGACAGACTGGATGTGGGAATCAGGTTGTATACATGTGTGGTCAGTGGGTGCCTTGTTGTAGTGACAGACTGGATGAGGGAATCAGGTTGTATACATGTGTGGTCAGTGGGTGCCTTGTTGTAGTGACAGACTGGGTGGGGGAATCAGGTTGTATACATGTGTGGTCAGTGGGTGCCTTGTTGTAGTGACAGACTGGATGAGGGAATCAGGTTGTATACATGTGTGGTCAGTGGGTGCCTTGTTGTAGTGACAGCCTGGATGGGGGGAATCAGGTTGTATACATGTGTGGTCAGTGGGTGCCTTGTTGTAGTGACAGACTGGATGGGGGAATCAGGTTGTATACATGTGTGGTCAGTGGGTGCCTTGTTGTATTTGACAGACTGGATGGGGGAATCAGGTTGTATACATGTGTGGTCAGTGGGTGCCTTGTTGTAGTGACAGACTGGATGTGGGAATCAGGTTGTATACATGTGTGGTCAGTGGGTGCCTTGTTGTATTTGACAGACTGGATGGGGGAATCAGGTTGTATACATGTGTGGTCAGTGGGTGCCTTGTTGTAGTGACAGACTGGATGGGGGAATCAGGTTGTATACATGTGTGGTCAGTGGGTGCCTTGTTGTAGTGACAGACTGGGTGGGGGAATCAGGTTGTATACATGTGTGGTCAGTGGGTGCCTTGTTGTAGTGACAGACTGGATGGGGGAATCAGGTTGTATACATGTGTGGTCAGTGGGTGCCTTGTTGTAGTGACAGACTGGATGGGGGAATCAGGTTGTATACATGTGTGGTCAGTGGGTGCCTTGTTGTAGTGACAGATTGGATGTGGGAATCAGGTTGTATACATGTGTGGTCAGTGGGTGCCTTGTTGTAGTGACAGACTGGGTGGGGGGGAATCAGGTTGTATACATGTGTGGTCAGTGGGTGCCTTGTTGTAGTGACAGATTGGATGTGGGAATCAGGTTGTATACATGTGTGGTCAGTGGGTGCCTTGTTGTAGTGACAGACTGGGTGGGGGGGAATCAGGTTGTATACATGTGTGGTCAGTGGGTGCCTTGTTGTAGTGACAGACTGTATGGGGGGGAATCAGGTTGTATACATGTGTGGTCAGTGGGTGCCTTGTTGTAGTGACAGACTGGATGAGGGAATCAGGTTGTATACATGTGTGGTCAGTGGGTGCCTTGTTGTAGTGACAGACTGGGTGGGGGAATCAGGTTGTATACATGTGTGGTCAGTGGGTGCCTTGTTGTAGTGACAGACTGGGTGGGGGAATCAGGTTGTATACATGTGTGGTCAGTGGGTGCCTTGTTGTAGTGACAGACTGGATGGGGGGAATCAGGTTGTATACATGTGTGGTCAGTGGGTGCCTTGTTGTAGTGACAGCCTGGATGGGGGGATCAGGTTGTATACATGTGTGGTCAGTGGGTGCCTTGTTGTAGTGACAGACTGGATGGGGGGAATCAGGTTGTATACATGTGTGGTCAGTGCCTTGTTGTAGTGACAGACTGGATGTGGGAATCAGGTTGTATACATGTGTGGTCAGTGGGTGCCTTGTTGTAGTGACAGACTGGATGGGGAATCAGGTTGTATACATGTGTGGTCAGTGGGTGCCTTGTTGTAGTGACAGACTGGATGGGGGGAATCAGGTTGTATACATGTGTGGTCAGTGCCTTGTTGTAGTGACAGACTGGATGTGGGAATCAGGTTGTATACATGTGTGGTCAGTGGGTGCCTTGTTGTAGTGACAGACTGGGTGGGGGAATCAGGTTGTATACATGTGTGGTCAGTGGGTGCCTTGTTGTAGTGACAGATTGGATGGGGGAATCAGGTTGTATACATGTGTGGTCAGTGCCTTGTTGTAGTGACAGACTGGATGGGGGAATCAGGTTGTATACATGTGTGGTCAGTGGGTGCCTTGTTGTAGTGACAGACTGGATGGGGGAATCAGGTTGTATACATGTGTGGTCAGTGCCTTGTTGTAGTGACAGACTGGGTGGGGGGAATCAGGTTGTATAAATGTGTGGTCAGTGGGTGCCTTGTTGTAGTGACAGATTGGATGTGGGAATCAGGTTGTATACATGTGTGGTCAGTGGGTGCCTTGTTGTAGTGACAGACTGGGTGGGGGGAATCAGGTTGTATACATGTGTGGTCAGTGCCTTGTTGTAGTGACAGACTGGATGGGGGAATCAGGTTGTATACATGTGTGGTCAGTGGGTGCCTTGTTGTAGTGACAGACTGTATGGGGGGGAATCAGGTTGTATACATGTGTGGTCAGTGGGTGCCTTGTTGTAGTGACAGACTGGGTGGGGGGGAATCAGGTTGTATACATGTGTGGTCAGTGGGTGCCTTGTTGTAGTGACAGACTGTATGGGGGGGAATCAGGTTGTATACATGTGTGGTCAGTGGGTGCCTTGTTGTAGTGACAGACTGGGTGGGGGAATCAGGTTGTATACATGTGTGGTCAGTGGGTGCCTTGTTGTAGTGACAGACTGTATGGGGGGGAATCAGGTTGTATACATGTGTGGTCAGTGGGTGCCTTGTTGTAGTGACAGACTGTATGGGGGGGAATCAGGTTGTATACATGTGTGGTCAGTGGGTGCCTTGTTGTAGTGACAGACTGTATGGGGGGGAATCAGGTTGTATACATGTGTGGTCAGTGGGTGCCTTGTTGTAGTGACAGACTGGGTGGGGGGAATCAGGTTGTATACATGTGTGGTCAGTGCCTTGTTGTAGTGACAGACTGGATGTGGGAATCAGGTTGTATACATGTGTGGTCAGTGGGTGCCTTGTTGTAGTGACAGACTGTATGGGGGGGAATCAGGTTGTATACATGTGTGGTCAGTGGGTGCCTTGTTGTAGTGACAGACTGTATGGGGGGGAATCAGGTTGTATACATGTGTGGTCAGTGGGTGCCTTGTTGTAGTGACAGACTGGGTGGGGGGAATCAGGTTGTATACATGTGTGGTCAGTGCCTTGTTGTAGTGACAGACTGGATGTGGGAATCAGGTTGTATACATGTGTGGTCAGTGGGTGCCTTGTTGTAGTGACAGATTGGATGGGGGGAATCAGGTTGTATACATGTGTGGTCAGTGCCTTGTTGTAGTGACAGACTGGATGGGGGAATCAGGTTGTATACATGTGTGGTCAGTGGGTGCCTTGTTGTAGTGACAGACTGGATGGGGGGGAATCAGGTTGTATACATGTGTGGTCAGTGGGTGCCTTGTTGTAGTGACAGATTGGATGGGGGGAATCAGGTTGTATACATGTGTGGTCAGTGCCTTGTTGTAGTGATAGACTGTATGGGGGGGAATCAGGTTGTATACATGTGTGGTCAGTGGGTGCCTTGTTGTAGTGACAGACTGGATGGGGGAATCAGGTTGTATACATGTGTGGTCAGTGGGTGCCTTGTTGTATTTGACAGACTGGATGGGGGAATCAGGTTGTATACATGTGTGGTCAGTGGGTGCCTTGTTGTAGTGACAGACTGGGTGGGGGGAATCAGGTTGTATACATGTGTGGTCAGTGGGTGCCTTGTTGTAGTGACAGACTGGATGGGGGAATCAGGTTGTATACATGTGTGGTCAGTGGGTGCCTTGTTGTAGTGACAGACTGGGTGGGGGAATCAGGTTGTATACATGTGTGGTCAGTGGGTGCCTTGTTGTAGTGACAGACTGGGTGGGGGAATCAGGTTGTATACATGTGTGGTCAGTGGGTGCCTTGTTGTAGTGACAGACTGGGTGGGGGGACTAAGGTTGTATACATGTGTGGTCAGTGGGTGCCTTGTTGTAGTGACAGACTGGGTGAGGGGACTAAGGTTGTATACATGTGTGGTCAGTGGGTGCCTTGTTGTAGTGACAGACTGGGTGGGGGGACTAAGGTTGTATACATGTGTGGTCAGTGGGTGCCTTGTTGTAGTGACAGACTGGGTGAGGGGACTAAGGTTGTATACATGTGTGGTCAGTGGGTGCCTTGTTGTAGTGACAGACTGGGTGGGGGGAATCAGGTTGTATACATGTGTGGTCAGTGGGTGCCTTGTTGTAGTGACAGACTGTATGGGGGGGAATCAAGTTGTATACATGTGTGGTCAGTGGGTGTCTTGTTGTAGTGACAGACTGGATGTGGGAATCAGGTTGTATACATGTGTGGTCAGTGGGTGCCTTGTTGTAGTGACAGACTGGATGTGGGAATCAGGTTGTATACATGTGTGGTCAGTGGGTGCCTTGTTGTAGTGACAGATTGGATGAGGGGACTAAGGTTGTATACATGTGTGGTCAGTGCCTTGTTGTAGTGACAGATTGGATGAGGGGACTAAGGTTGTATACATGTGTGGTCAGTGGGTGCCTTGTTGTAGTGACAGATTGGATGAGGGGACTAAGGTTGTATACATGTGTGGTCAGTGGGTGCCTTGTTGTAGTGACAGTCTGGGTGGGGGAATCAGGTTGTATACATGTGTGGTCAGTGGGTGCCTTGTTGTAGTGACAGACTGGATGAGGGGACTAAGGTTGTATACATGTGTGGTCAGTGGGTGCCTTGTTGTAGTGACAGTCTGGGTGGGGGAATCAGGTTGTATACATGTGTGGTCAGTGGGTGCCTTGTTGTAGTGACAGACTGGATGAGGGGACTAAGGTTGTATACATGTGTGGTCAGTGGGTGTCTTGTTGTAGTGACAGACTGGGTGGGGGAATCAGGTTGTATACATGTGTGGTCAGTGCCTTGTTGTAGTGACAGACTCGGTGGGGGGAATCAGGTTGTATACATGTGTGGTCAGTGGGTGCCTTGTTGTAGTGACAGACTGGATGTGGGAATCAGGTTGTATAAATGTGTGGTCAGTGGGTGCCTTGTTGTAGTGACAGACTGGATGAGGGGACTAAGGTTGTATACATGTGTGGTCAGTGGGTGCCTTGTTGTAGTGACAGACTGGATGGGGGGAATCAGGTTGTATACATGTGTGGTCAGTGGGTGCCTTGTTGTAGTGACAGACTGGATGAGGGGGAATCAGATTTATTACAAGGCCAGACAAGGTTATATTGGACCTGACATGTTTGTTTGCCCTGTTATATTTGACCTGACATGTTTGTTTGCCCTGTTATATTTGACCTGACATGTTTGTTTGCCCTGTTATATTGGACCTGACATGTTTGTTTGCCCTGTTATATTTGACCTGACATGTTTGTTTGCCCTGTTATATTTGACCTGACATGTTTGTTTGCCCTGTTATATTGGACCTGACATGTTTGTTTGCCCTGTTATATTTGACCTGACATGTTTGTTTACTCTGTTTTATTGGACCTGACATGTTTGTTTGCCCTGTTATTTTGGACCTGACATGTTTGTTTGCCCTGTTATATTTGACCTGACATGTTTGTTTACTCTGTTTTATTGGACCTGACATGTTTGTTTGCCCTGTTATATTGGACCTGACATGTTTGTTTACTCATGCACCGTCAGGAACAAGGTCATAAACTTATTTGCATGGGAGCAAACAAGCTTTTTTTTATCTTATGTTGCCATTGTGTCACCAACATCCAGATAATGATGTAGTTTCACAGTATGCTCAAAGTAACTCTTTACATATCCAGCATCCGTGAAGTCTGTGAAGTCGGAGAAGGATCACACCCTCCAGCACAGCGATGCCCTGCCCACAGTCTCAGCCCCCAAGGGTCCGTCACGGCACATGCTGTTTGCCACCCACTTCCCCATTCCACAAGATGAATATTCAAGCCACGAGTGCAACCAGAGACTCATCGTCCTGTACGGTGTCGGCAAGCCCCGCGATGAGGCGCGACATGTCCTGAAGAAAATCTCCAAGGAGGTAGTGAAGCTGTATAGCAAGAGGAACTGTATTGATGTCAGCAGTGGCGACCTTGGCAAGGTGAGTTGCCAGACAGTGTGGACCAGTCGCCATCTCATTCACATTGCTCATGATGTCAATCACTGGATTGTCTGGTCCAGACTTGATTATTTACAGACCGCCGTCATAAAGCTGGAATATTGCTATGTGCGGCGTTAAACAACAAACAAACAAAAACATTTACATTGTATATATTTGTCACATGGGTTAACTGACATGTTTATGAAAAGAAAAGTTTTACATACAATAAATACTGTCCAGCTTGTGTTGTTGAAATGACTCACCAGCCAACAGTGTTGGCCCTTGTAGAGTTTGTTGTTCTGTTGTGTGTCAGCGAGGATAGTACAACATGGACATGTGCATGGTTGGATAAGATTAACTTTCTTGGATATTGACACATGAAGATCCAGGTTAGAACAGATCTTCAGAACCCATGCTTGCTCTGTGTCATTGTTGATAGAACCCATGAAGATCCGGTACGAAGAGGCGACTATGCTTGTCATAAGAGGCGACTATGCTTGTCGTAAGAGGCGACTATGCTTGTTGTAAGAGGCGGCTATGCTTGTCGTAAGAGGCGACTATGCTTGTCGTAAGAGGCGGCTATGCTTGTCGTAAGAGGCGACTATGCTTGTCATAAGAGGCGACTATGCTTGTCGTAAGAGGCGACTATGCTTGTCATTAGAGGCGACTATGCTTGTCATAAGAGGCGACTATGCTTGTCATAAGAGGCGACTATGCTTGTCATAAGAGGCGACTATGCTTGTCGTAAGAGGCGACTGCTTGTCGTAAGAGGCGACTAATGGGACCTGGGGGTCAGACACGCTGACTTGGTTGATGCATGTCATCGTATTCCAATTGTGTGGATTGATTCTCATGATATAAATCACTGGATTGTCTGCCCCAGACTTGATTATTTACAGATCGCTGTCATATAGCTAGAATAATTCTGAGTGCGGCGTCAACAACAGACAAATAAACAAATCTTGGATGTTGATTGATTGTTACAATATACCCAACCCACCAGGTGGAACACCAGGTGTCAACACCAGATCCCCATTAGTTGTCTGTTAGTACAAGCATGGAGTACTAGGAGTCTCTTCTCAGTATTCTGACAATGAATTCCTGGTGTTTCTGTATTTTCTCAAAAGCCATGGTTTTCAATTCTGATGAACTTTCAGGTGAAGAAGAAGAAAGAAAAGGAAGGGGAGGCAACTGCTGCAGCATCTGTGTCTGTGGTGCTGCCAAACTACGAGGGCATCTTCCAGAAGTTCCAGAAGCTGTCCTACTACGACCAGCACTCTGTCACAGAGCAGTGCTGTGCTGCTGTCATAGAGCAGATCAACAGCTTTGTGTCGGGCAGCTCCAGTTATCTCCCCTTGGTGGACAATATCTCCTATTTATTTGACCTGATGGAATACTCCCTGAATATCAATGGTCTCATTGAGTTTATATGCCAGGTAGGTTGATTATGCTGATATCTATAATACATCAAATGAATGTTTAAAGCAGATTATGTGTTTTGTGCCCTTTATGTATGTGTTCTGTTCATTCGTATGTGTAGTGTTTATTATCCCCTGTTCGTCCATCCGTCATGTTTCGTTTCTGGAGCATTTTATATTTTATTATGAACTTCGCATGTGTATCAAACACATGCTGAACTGGTGCCTTTTGTTGTTTTGGTATTTCTAAAAAAATATTTTTGGTGTTCTATGGCAACAAGCCACATTTCTTATTAAGTTATCCCACATTACTCCTGAATCCATTGACTGCTTGTTCCTGACAGAGAGATGAAAATCATCATTGAGGTAAATACCTCGAATTCTTAAGTGCCCCATGTTGGGGGATATTGATAACATTGGTTTCTTGTTCATGTGCGTTGTGCTGTTTATTCATTGTGTGTTGTGCTGTTTATTCATTGTGTGTTGTGCTGTTTATTCATTGTGTGTTGTGCTGTTTATTCATGTCTGTTGTGCTGTTGCAGATGTTGAAGGAGATGACGGAGGTGGAGTTGCAGCTGAAGAAGAACAAGTCGTCCCTGGCGGGGACGTTCACGACGTCGCTGGGGCTATGTATTGTCAGTGTGCTCCGCCAGTATCACACCTATGTCTTGGTGTCGCAGGATCTCACATCACAGGCATTTGAGTAGTGAGTTGACTTTGGCAGGGGCACACTTACAGTCATCTGAAGATAAAAAATATACAAATTGGTGGGGTGTACTTAATTGGTAAATTTGAAAAGTGTAGTAAACTATTTATGTAACGAACACATTTCTAACGGACTGTTGGATATGACAAACTGTGTTTTTGGTCCTGTCCATTTGCTGTGTATATGCTGTATATAGGCTATAATAAACTTCGGTTGTAATGAACCAAAATTAGCCGTCCCTTTTGTTATAACTGTAGTTTACAGTATATGCCTTTATACAGCGCTCATGTATTCCTGCCTGGGACGTTTTGCTGTCAGTATTGCCTGGCAATCAGATGGAAGAACTGTTATTTGAGCCATGTTTTCCTAACTGCTGATTGTGATATATCTCTTCAGTGATGTCTTAGGAACCTTTATTCCTCAGTCCAGTAATGATGGGAGGAATTCAAGAAACTCAGATTATGATTTTGATATAAGGAGATTGTAAAAGTCATTTTAGAACTTGTCCAGATTATCTGAGTAAGACAACAATTTTCTTAGTTTTACAAAGACAGCTGACCCATACTGTGTGTAAGAACAAAGTGATCTTAGTCAATGTTAACAATTGTCCAGTTCCCAGAGGAACGACTACTTTTAGTGAGACTTGCAGCTAAGACTGTTGTGTGACTGATGCTTGTGTTACAGTCTGTTCCTGCTGTGGAAGACGGTGGACTCCAGTAACCCGGGGGAGTGTATGTCCGCCAAGCGCTGCGTCATCTCCTACCTCTGTGATGTCTACTCTGCGTGTGCGTTCCTCAAGGTAAGTCCACACAGGCACACTGTGCTTTACCTTACTCGCCCAAGTATTTGGCAGTGTCATTTATTAGGACATTTTTACTATAGATCAAAATCAAAATCCTGAAAATATTTGTTTTGTTACTGTAAAACTGATTGCCCCAACCCTTCTGTTGAGCATGTTGAAACGTATGTAATCTGAAAAGTACTTTCAAACATACGATACAGTCATGCAGTATGATTGGAAACTTCAGGATAGCATATTTGTCAACTGGAAAATTTAATTTTCAATATATTTCTCATTGGGGTGGGGGCACGGGTGGCCAAGTCGTCTAAGGCGCCGTGATTCACTGTGCAGAGTTGCGTCCCTTGGACACGCCAGAAACCTATGATTGTGGGTTCGAATCCCAGTTCGCCCCGATTATGTTTCTAGGTTTGTCAGCACCATACCCGTGCTCGTGGGTTTCACCGAAGTGGTAAACGTCTGATACCTGCATCACTTCAGGCTTTCCTCCCACATGAAGCTGACACGCAGCGATATAACTGTAATACTGTTAAAAGCGGCGTTAAACCCAACTCACTCACTCACTCTCATTGGGGATAAAAAGGCTGAGCTCACTAGTCATACTTAAACAAACAAGACTGGGCTACTGCATATTGGTTGAATGTACAGAATGCTATTGATGAAGATTGTTATATTCTTTTTCCTTTTGCAGTGTTGTGAGATGCTCTCATGTGATATGTTATATAAAAAACATACTTAAACAGCTAACCACATGAGAGTGAGAGGATTTTGTCTTTTGTTTTCAGTCTCGTTTCTCTGAGATGTTCAGCTCGGCTCACTCCCAAGTGAAGCAGACGATCCACGTGTCCGTGACTCCGTCAGCCTCCAACCTGCGCTGGGACCCTGCCTTCATGATAGAGCTCATCAGTACAGGAAAGTAAGTCATGGAGGAAGCCGTCACGATACTCTACACATGGGAAAACATACAGATTTGTAAGGGCTTGTAGGCTAAGCTTGATTGCAGCAGTATTTTAGTTTCCTGCACAACAGTCAAGCATGATGTAAGACTTGACTGCAATGCGTGGTCAGACTCAGTGACTGATTGTCTTTCATCACTCTCCAATGATCTTGTCATCAACCACTGGTTTGTCTGTCCTAGACTTGATCATTTACAGGTCTCGGTGATATGGCTGCGGTATAAGACAACAAAGAAACTTAATGACGGGCATGAATTTTTTAAAACTGTCTACGAAACATTCAGGGTTTATGGAAATTTTTGGGAAGTGTGTGTGTGCGTTTCCACCGTTTCTACTTGCCCCGGTTCTAGAGATTTGTGTGTGTGTGTTTCAGGTCGCAGCCGGACCCACAGGTGGTGAAGCAGCTGAGTGAGAATCCCCCCAACAGATACAGCTTTGTCTGCAATGCCACCCTCAACATCTGTAACTCACAGCTCCCTGAGAGGTCAGTCCTTCAACCCACACCCGATGAGTCTGCTCAAACCATGAATACAAGTTAATTGTTTTCAGCCTGTTCTATAGTTAGTTGTAACTCCACTTCAATCCCCTGTACCAGTCATAACCACACCTGCTTTGTTATGTTGTATATTGACTGTGTTTCCAGGTTGAATGAGATCTCCCTGTTGTGTGCGGAGCTGACAGCTCGGTGTAATCCCCTCAGCTCGGAGTGGCTGGGAGTTCTCAAGGCTCTGTGTTGTTCCTCCATGCACAGCAGTGGCTTCATAGATGTCCTCACACAGATAGATGTAAGTACAGAAACTCCATGGAGCACAGTAGAGTAAAGTGCCAGGCCCGAGACGCTGGAGTATTGCTGAATGGCACTCTGAGTAAGTTTGGCCCCAAGTACCAATTTACTTTAGCAGATGTATGTTCATCTATGCTCTGTTCATCCTCTACATTGTTGTTTGTTGTAGGTGAGTGACCTGTCAATACACGACTCCCTGGCTGTGTTCACGGCGATCCTGATTGCCCGCCAGTGTTTCTCCCTGCAGGACCTAGTGGTGCATGTTGCGCTGCCCTCCCTCCTGGCTGCCTGCCCTTCAGGTAATGTCCCTGCAGAACCTAGTGGTGCATGTTGCGCTGCCCTCCCTCCTGGCTGCCTGCCCTTCAGGTAATGTCCCCGCAGAACCTAACTGCCCTCCCTCCTGACTGCCTGCCCTTCAGGTAATGTCCCCGCAGAACCTAACTGCCCTCCCTCCTGGCTGCCTGCCCTTCAGGTAATGTCCCTGCAGAACCTAACTGCCCTCCCTCCTGGCTGCCTGCCCTTCAGGTAATGTCCCTGCAGAACCTAACTGCCCTCCCTCCTGGCTGCCTGCCCTTCAGGTAATGTCCCTGCAGAACCTAACTGCCCTCCCTCCTGGCTGCCTGCCCTTCAGGTAATGTCCCTGCAGAACCTAACTGCCCTCCCTCCTGGCTGCCTGCCCTTCAGGTAATGTCCCCGCAGAACCTAACTGCCCTCCCTCCTGACTGCCTGCCCTTCAGGTAATGTCCCCGCAGAACCTAACTGCCCTCCCTCCTGGCTGCCTGCCCTTCAGGTAATGTCCCTGCAGAACCTTACTGCCCTCCCTCCTGGCTGCCTGCCCTTCAGGTAATGTCCCTGCAGAACCTAACTGCCCTCCCTCCTGACTGCCTGCCCTTCAGGTAATGTCCCTGCAGAACCTAACTGCCTTCCCTCCTGACTGCCTGCCCTTCAGTTAATGTCCCTGCAGAACCTAACTGCCCTCCCTCCTGACTGCCTGCCCTTCAGTTAATGTCCCTGCAGGACCTAACTGCCCTCCCTCCTGACTGCCTGCCCTTCAGTTAATGTCCCTGCAGGACCTAACTGCCCTCCCTCCTGACTGCCTGCCCTTCAGTTAATGCCCCTGCAGGACCTAACTGCCTTCCCTCCTGACTGCCTGCCCTTCAGTTAATGTCCCTGCAGGACCTAACTGCCCTCCCTCCTGACTGCCTGCCCTTCAGTTAATGTCCCTGCAGGACCCAACTGCCCTCCCTCCTGACTGCCTGCCCTTCAGTTAATGTCCCTGCAGGACCCAACTGCCCTCCCTCCTGACTGCCTGCCCTTCAGTTAATGTCCCTGCAGGACCCAACTGCCCTCCCTCCTGACTGCCTGCCCTTCAGTTAATGTCCCTGCAGAACCTAACTGCCTTCCCTCCTGACTGCCTGCCCTTCAGTTAATGTCCCTGCAGAACCTAACTGCCCTCCCTCCTGACTGCCTGCCCTTCAGTTAATGTCCCTGCAGGACCTAACTGCCCTCCCTCCTGACTGCCTGCCCTTCAGTTAATGTCCCTGCAGGACCCAACTGCCCTCCCTCCTGACTGCCTGCCCTTCAGTTAATGTCCCTGCAGAACCTAACTGCCCTCCCTCCTGACTGCCTGCCCTTCAGTTAATGTCCCTGCAGGACCTAACTGCCCTCCCTCCTGACTGCCTGCCCTTCAGTTAATGCCCCTGCAGGACCTAGTGGTGCATGTTGCACTGCCCTCCCTCCTTGCTCCCTTCCCCTCTTGATCATGGCCCTCTGTCACCAACTGGAGGAGGCCACAGTTAACTACATAAATCTGCAGACACAAATGGCAGTAACAGCTATGACACTACTCTACCCTTTTCAGCTGGCGGGGACCAGGATGCAGAGCCAGGAGCGCGACTCACCTGTCACCTTCTCCTGAGGCTCTTCAAGACCCACGATCTAGTCCTGCCACAGCCCAGCTATGGGGGCGGGGTACGTAACCCGCCCATGATCAAGGCATCGTGTGACCAGCATCTCCTGGAGGCCTCGCATGACAGCATCACCATCGGCCCTGTCATGGCAGTACTTAAGGCCATGCTTGTGATGGGTACGTGTCATCCATAGATGTTGGTCAGCTAGCTACAGTGCCTCTTAGTGATTGCTGCATGTAGGCAATTAGGGCCATGGAGATCCCTCACACCTTATGTTTGTTGTAAGAGTTGATGAACATTGGGATTGGTTGGCCAGAATGTGTGAACTGTCAGATGCTGGTTATACTTTGGTGATATGTATCATTGTGCATGCTGTTTTTTAGTTTGATTTATCATCCTGTGAAAAGTAAATGGACAATAACACTGATACCCTCTCTCCGGTCATAGTTATGAAATGTACCCATTGTGTATGTGAAATAGTGTCCCCTGATCAGCCCTGTGCAGACATGTTCATTATGTAATTGAGAGTGTCCCTTGACATCTGTTAATACATTGAAGGTGATTCATGCAATGATGAGTCAAAATCCAAGTCAGCGTCCAACTCCAACTCCAAGGACAAGGGGGACGACATCATCCAGACATTGCTGCGAGGACTGGACGATGATGTTGACATGGACATGGTGCTAGGGTGAGTCACGTTGGAGAATTCACTGTTCTATTGGAGTACAGTGATCTCCCCTTGTCTTCATGCTGAGTATATAGTGATCTCCCCTTGTCTTCTTCATGCTGAGTAGAGTGATCTCCCCTTGTCTTCTTCATGCTGAGAATAAGTGAGCTCCCCTTGTCTTCTTCATACTGAGTAGAGTTGGAGAATTCACTGTTCTATTGGAGTACAGTGATCTCCCCTTGTATTCATGCTGAGTATATAGTGATCTCCCCTTGTCTTCTTCATGCTGAGTAAGTAGTGATCTCCCCTTGTCTTCTTCATGCTGAGTAGAGTGATCTACCCTTGTCTTCTTCATACTGAGTATAAGTGAGCTCCCCTTGTCGTCATGCTGAGTAGAGTGAGCTCCCCTTGTCGTCATGCTGAGTAGAGTGAGCTCCCCTTGTCTTCATGCTGAGTATAAGTGATCTCCCCTTGTCTTCTTCATGCTGAGTAGAATGAGCTCCCCTTGTCTTCTTCATACTCAAGCTCCTTCCCAGCGCGTGACACCTTCGTTACACTCTCGGTAACATCGCTGCCATCAGTGTGGGTGCGGCCATTACAAGAATCTTGAAATTTGCCCTCCAACCCCATATGTAGTAACGTTTATACTTTTGTTTATGTCTTTGGGAATCATCATATTTCAATTTGAAAAGGTTTACGACTGACCATGTTTTCCAGATGAATTTACTTTGTTGTTTTGATAATCAGATTGGTTCGAGATTGCAGACTAACGGAAAACCAACCAACTTCTCCCTTACATTCTTACTATATCAATAACACAATAGTTTTAATGAACCAGAAATTCAAATTGACAAACGAAGAAAGTAATTTAGCAACTATAAGTGTATTCAGCATCACGACAGTCGTCACTTGTTTGTAAACATAACGGTCATTCGGTTGCGAGTTCAACTCCAAGCATGGTTGTGGCCACCTATTCACAGTGGGGAGTTTTGACTGGTGGCAGCGATAGTATAGAGAGCTCCGGGAACGTACTATCGCTGTGAGGAGCTTGCTTCATACTGAGTAGAGTGATCTCCCCTTGTCTTCATGCTGAGTATGTAGTGATCTCCCCTTGTCTTCATGCTGAGTAGAGTGAGCTCCCCTTGTCTTCATGCTGAGTATGTAGTGATATCCCCTTGTCTTCTTCATACTGAATAGAGTGAGCTCCCCTTGTCTTCATGCTTAGTATGTAGTGATCCCCCCCTTGTCTTCATGCTGAGTATATAGTGACTTCCCCTTGTCTTCCTCATACTGAGTAGAGTGAGCTCCCCTTGTCTTCCGGCAATGTGTTATGATAGGATCCTACTCCTGTAGACAGCAGAAATGATTGACTTTGTCATGTTGTTTGTGCAGTGCCCCATCGAAGAGCACAAAGACAGGCATGGAGAGCGCTGGGCTGAGCGAGTTCTCGAAGCACGCCCTGAAGGAGATGTGTGACCAGACCTGGGTGCAGGAGAAGTTCCTCAAAGACCCGGAGCGCCTGTTTGACGGGGACACTCTCATAGACCCCATGCTCACCAACAAACAGGTAGAACTGCTAGCTCCTTGAGGGATTTGTGGGTTGTTTGATTGAATTATCACCATTGGTAATGTTGTGCCATAGGATGGTCAGGATCGTATGACCTGGAATCCTCAGCCCAGGATGGATGCTTATAGTGACTGGAATGTTCATGAGCTCGTTGATCCTAGTACAACAGAGCCTTGTGAACATGATAAAGTATTGACTCTAAGATTCTTAAATGTCATGACTTTGTTCAAGTATTATTCAGCTAGGGTGTCTATGGACACTAAACTACCCTAGTTCTGTCTGACACTGTGTTCTGTCTGACCCAGGCCCAGCAGCTGCTACAGATGATCTGCTACCCCAAGGGTGTCCCCAACCAGGTGGAGGGCTGCGAGCCAGACAACAAGCAGGTCATCCTCCGGATCCTCGAGGTGGGTACGAGTGGCTACAGTACTCTGGCCTTGCTTCATGGCACACTCTCATGCTTACCTGTGCACAACATTTTGTAATAAAAAATAAAATAACCAATTGGACACTTTTTTTAATCACACTAAGTACCAGTTGTTTTAATGTCAGATGGCCTGCTGTGTATATTATGTCTGGTTTGACAGCAAATGAAAAACTGATATTACAAGGTTTTCAGAAGTTTGAAAATCCTTGATTTTGAATCTTATCTAAAAATGGGATTAATTACCTTGAATAGGTGTTGAATTTGTCAACCATGGTTAACCTTGCTGTTGAATGATTATATAGCAAATGATTAATCAAACACTTGTTCCATCACTTACTTTGAAACACTTGCGTGGACTTTTAACAGTATATTGGAATGTAGCATTGGAGTTCGGAGACATGAGGACAATGGCATGAACTAAGAATGTCCTAACAAGTCGGTTTGAAAGCATGCTTGGTTCAAACATTTGCCACGATTAGTGAGATACGTGATTTGTAGAAGGCCTGACATCTGCTAGGTAGAGTTGTGTATGACCCACTTCTGAGTACCATTACCATGCCTGCTGATGCCCGTGTTGCAGACACTTGACCAGTGGTCACTGCGTGTGTCCTGGCTGGAGGTGCAGCTCATGTTCAAGCAGGCCACAACACAAACAGTAAGTAACACTGATGCCAGCAGATAAATCAACAAAAGGAAATATATTGCAATGCATGTGCTTGTGGGCTTAAATGACAGTGACAATACATATTGCGATACTTCAGTCATGATACACTATGTCCAGATAAACGATATGTTTGTAGACGATTTTGTTTATAGTGACCATTGTAGATGTAGATGTAGTGATAATTTAAAAAATAGTATCACCAAATGTGTGCAGATTTAATTCCTTCCAGTCTGTCCTACTGATGACTTGACACCCGTGTTATGACTGACTCCCATTTTATGACTGACTCCCATTTTATGACTGACTCCCATTTTATGACTGACTCCCATGTTACGACTGACTCCCATGTTATAACTGACTCCCATGTTATAACTGGCTCCTGTGTTATAACTGTCTCCCATGTTATATTTGACTCCGTGTTATAACTGACTCCCATGTTATATTTGACTCCGTGTTATAACTGACTCCCATGTTAAATTTGACTCATGTGTTATAACTGTCTCCCATGTTATATTTGACTCCGTGTTATAACTGACTCCCATGTTATATTTGACTCCCATGTTATAACTGACATCTATGTTACAACTGACTCCCATGTTATATTTGACTCCTGTGTTATAACTGACTCCCATGTGATAACTGTCTCCCATGTTATATTTGACTCCGTGTTATAACTGACTCCCATGTTATATTTGACTCCTGTATTATAACTGTCTCCCATGTTATATTTGACTCCTGTGTGATAACTGACTCCCATGTTATATTTGACTCCTGTGTTATAACTGTCTCCCATGTTATATTTGACTCTGTGTTATAACTGACTCCCATGTTATATTTGACTCCGTGTTATAACTGACTCCCATGTTATATTTGACTCCCATGTTATAACTGACTCCTGTGTTACAACTGACTCCCATGTTATATTTGACTCCCATGTTATAACTGACTCCCATTTTATATTTGACTCCCATGTTATAACTGACTCCTGTGTTACAACTGACTCCCATGTTATATTTGACTCCTGTGTTACAACTGACTCCCATGTTATATTTGACTCCTGTGTTTTAACTGACCCCCATGTGATAACTGACTCTCATGTTATATTTGACTCCTGTTATAACTAACTCCTGTGTTACAACTGACTCCCATGTTATATTTGACTCCTGTGTTACAACTGACTCCCATGTTATATTTGACTCCGTGTTATAACTGACTCCCATTTTATATTTGACTCCCATGTTATAACTGACTCCTGTGTTATTACTGACTCCCATGTTATAACTGACTCCTGTGTTACAACTGACTCCCATGTTATATTTGACTCCTGTGTTATTACTGACTCCCATGTTATAACTGACTCCCATGTTATAACTGACTCCTGTGTTACAACTGACTCCCATGTTATATTTGACTCTCATGTTATAACTGACTCCTGTGTTACAACTGACTACCATGTTATAACTGACTCCCATGTTATGTTTGAGTACCATGGTATATTCTCCAGGAGACCAACAACATCCTAGACAACATAGCGAAGGGTACGATAGACTTGTTCCACCAGCAGACCGAGTACAGCAAGTCCTCGGCAGGATCAGCTTCACCACAAGAAAGCAACAAGTAATTATACATGCTTAGTCTGTCCCCCTTGTCCTGGCTGCCTACCGACAAGGGACAATGGAGTGTTAGGGTAGTCTAGTGGCTATGTGTTCCCCTTGTCCTGGCTGCCTACTGACAAGGGACAATGGAGTGTTAGGGTAGTCTAGTGCCCATGTGTTCCCCTTGTCCTGGCTGCCTACCGACAAGGGACAATGGAGTGTTAGGGTAGTCTAGTGGCTATGTGTTCCCCTTGTCCTGGCTGCCTACCGACAAGGGACAATGGAGTGTTAGGGTAGTCTAGTGGCTATGTGTTCCCCTTGTCCTGGCTGCCTACCGACAAGGGACAATGGAGTGTTAGGGTAGTCTAGAGGCTATGTGTTCCCCTTGTCCTGGCTGCCTACTGACAAGGGACAATGGAGTGTTAGGGTAGTCTAGAGGCTATGTGTTCCCCTTGTCCTGGCTGCCTACCGACAAGGGACAATGGAGTGTTAGGGTAGTCTAGAGGCTATGTGTTCCCCTTGTCCTGGCTGCCTACTGACAAGGGACAATGGAGTGTTAGGGTAGTCTAGAGGCTATGTGTTCCCCTTGTCCTGGCTACCTACCGACAAGGGACAATGGAGTGTTAGGGTTGTCTAGAGGCTATGTGTTCCCCTTGTCCTGGCTGCCTACTGACAAGGGACAATGGAGTGTTAGGGTAGTCTAGTGCCCATGTGTTCCCCTTGTCCTGGCTGCCTACTGACAAGGGACAATGGAGTGTTAGGGTAGTTAAGTGGCTATGTGTTCTCCTTGTCCTGGCTGCCTACTGACAAGGGACAACGGAGTGTCAGGGTTGTCTAGTGGCTATGTGTTCCCCTTGTCCTGGCTGCCTACCGACAAGGGACAATGGAGTGTTAGGGTAGTCTAGTGGCTATGTGTTCCCCTTGTCCTGGCTGCCTACCGACAAGGGACAATGGAGTGTCAGGGTTGTCTAGTGGCTATGTGTTCCCCTTGTCCTGGCTGCCTACCGACAAGGGACAATGGAGTGTTAGGGTTGTCTAGTGGCTATGTGGTCCCTGTCTACACTGGTGACCCAGGTTTGTTTCCCCCACACTGATACACCTGGTACAAGCTCATGCCTGGAATCCACTCTGGAACATTACTACAATGGATGTAAATTCACACTCAATCAATCAAAGCCTCTTCCTCATTTTGTTTCCCTGTTTTTTAATATAAACAATAATGTTCTGTAAAATGTAAAAGTTTCACAGGCAATTTCACCTCTGATACTACCAAGCAACATAATGAAAGAAAAGCCGGTAACATTTTGATGCTTTTCACAGTTGCTGTGTATCATCTGAGAGTAACTGCAGGAATGTCCTCGTGTTTTGTTGGATCTATGTCTACCTTATGTTACTGATGAGTTGACCTTGACCCACCTGAGTTGAGCTTCTGACCTTTCAGACTTGAGGTTGACAAGGACAGTGTGTGGCTGGTGGCCCCACTCATCTCCAAGCTGCCCAACACAATCCAGGGGAGAGTCCTCAAGCTGGCTGGCCAGGTGTTAGAGAGCGGCAACGACTTTGTGACCATGAAAAGTAAGATGGACAAGGAGAAGAACCAGAAAAGGTGGGTGATGGCCTAAACCTCGTGCTACATGTCTTGTACCAGTTCTTTATCTGAGGTGACCATATATGTGTTTGACTTCAGGTGACCATATTGTCTTTGGCCTCAGGTGACCTGCTTGATAAAGATAAAACACTATTACAAGTTGTTTTGTGATGGAAATAAACTCCCCACGAGGCCTTGACAGAGAATGTAAGCCCGGGGAGGATGGAAATTTCCTGACTCTCCAGGCATACATTCTCTGTCAAGACCATCTAAATGCAAGAAATACCAGGAAAAATAAGAAAGCATCGACATACCTTATAGTGAAACAATACAGTGTATTGCGGTATAAAGGAATTCGCTCAAAACGTGCGAGAGAAAAAACATGTGCAGCCTGGACTAGATGGAGTCATGACATGATAATCTGAACAACTTCTCATCACCTGCCCCAGTAGCTCAGTGGGAAAACAGTGGGTTACAAAACTTATATGTGAGGATATGTGAGGTTGCAGGTTTGATTCAAGTCATGGAAGTTTAATGTTTAAAACAAATTTCTGACTCTTAACCAATCATCAAACACAACTGTGTTCACACTTACCGCTTACCCAGGCATATTTAAGCTGGAATGCCCGCTTACCCAAGCATACCTTAAGCTAGAATGCCCGCTTACCCAGGCATATTTAAGCTGGAATGCCCGCTTACCCGGGCACACTTAAGCTGGAATGCCCGCTTACCCAGGCATACTTAAGCTGGAATGCCCGCTTACCTGGGCATACTTAAGCTGGAATGCCTGCTTACCCGGGCATATTTAAGCTGGAATGCCTGCTTACCCGGGCACACTTAAGCTGGAATGCCCGCTTACCCGGGCACACTTAAGCTGGAATGCCTGCTTACCCGGGCATACTTAAGCTGGAATGCCCGCTTACCCGGGCACACTTAAGCTGGAATGCCCGCTTACCCGGGCATATTTAAGCTGGAATGCCTGCTTACCCAGGCATATTTAAGCTGGAATGCCCGCTTACCCGGGCATACCTTAAGCTGGAATGCCTGCTTACCCAGGCATATTTAAGCTGGAATGCCCGCTTACCCAGGCATATTTAAGCTGGAAAGCCCCCTTACCCAGGCATATTTAAGCTGGAATGCCCGCTTACCCGGGCATACCTTAAGCAGGACCTTTGGGGGGTAGTTTTTAATCACATTGTCCTGATGTGATGTAGTGTCGTATTGGCCTGAGATGAAGGACTTAATGGCGTGTTATGTGTTGCAGCAAGTCCCTGCTCGGTCACCAGCCCTTCCTGTCTCTGGTGCTCACGTGTCTCAAGGGCCAGGACGAGCAGCGGGAAGGGCTCCTCAACTCCCTACACAGTCAGCTGGAGAAGTTCATCAACAACACCAGAGAACTACTGGTGGGTACTGTGTGATGTCAGAACTACAGATCAGCAGCGTATTTGGGTATAATACCCCCCCAAAATATTCAAAACCAGATTACTTTCAAATAACTTGCATACAGAAACGCATGCATTAAATGAAAAACTCAAATGTATAGAAACAGCACGCGTAATACCCAATGAAGATTTTTCAGCACTGGTAGAAAGAAGCTAATTTCTGAAACACAATTACGAGCTAATTAACTTTCCGAGTCAAGCATATATATTTAGAACAGTTATATACATCTAAAACATTATTTCATTTTGTAAAATCTTAAAATGTTCACTAATTTGAGGAAATACCCAATAGAGTGAAGGATAGAAGAGTGAAAAAATATTGGTTACCCAATGAAAAATGTGATAACCCAATTAAAATAGAAACCCTAGAGTAAAAACTCAATTGCTCAAAAAGTTATCTGGAGCTCTGGATGTGATGATGGCTCCTTGGGGGATTCTGTGGAAGAGTAGATCCCTCAAACCCATGCTTGTCACAACAGTCGACGGATGTGATCAGTTGAGCACAATGGATGACCTGACTGTGTCATCATAGCCTGAAAGCTTGGATATTTGCTCATGCTATCTGCCACTGGTTGACTATTAACAGATTACAGCTTGACTGTTGCTGCCGAATGGTGTATAAATATGTTCATTATCAAAATGAAACATCAAGGTATTTATCATTTGTGTAAATGTGTTTGCAACCTATAGAAACTCACTTGCTACTTCATACAAGTTTATTACCATCTCGAATTGCTTGGCACTACAAATGTTCCTCTTTTTCTTTTTTTTCAGGACAAATACCCAGATGAAACAAAAATCCGACAGAATATTCATGAATCTCTGCAGCTGCGTCTCTCACTGGTGAGTGTTGGTTAGGACAGGTGCATTACCGTGATGTGAGGACTACACAGTAACACGTGCTTTTCATTACTTTGTGGCCACAATGGTGTCTTTGTATTGACTACAGGGGTCACGGGTGGCCGAGTCGTCTAAGGCGCCGCGATTGCTGTGCAGAGTTGCGAAACCTATGATTGTGGGTTCAAATCCCAGTTCGCCCGGATTATGTTTCTAGGTTTGTCAGCACCATCGTCGTGCTCGTGGGTTTCACCAAAGTGGTAAACGTCTGAGACCTGCATCACTTGGGGCTTTCCTCCCACATTAAGCTGACATGCTGTGATATAACTGGAATACTGTTAAAAGCGACGTTAAACCCAACTCACTCACTCACTCACTCATTGTATTAACTGCAACCAACTCTCAGTTTTGATTGTGTGTTCTTGCACAATACAGTCGGCCATTATTGCTGAGACTTGATTGGAGATATTGCAAAGAGAATAAATATTGGACTTGTCGCTGCTGTGTTTAATGTTGTTATAATTCGGGGGCCCAGACTGAGTACACAGTGAAGGGTGAGCTACCTCGTCTCTAGAGACTCTGGTCTTCAACATCGAGGTCGCCGCAAGGTGCAGCCGTATCGGCGGTGTCCCGATCCCCCTCACCTCTGCTTTAGGCACATTATGTCTTGGTATTGGTTTGGTGATCCTCTTGTGGATGTTGCCGATCGTTCCTCTACTCGTCTAAGCATGCCTCAGTCCTTTGGGCGTGGTTGATAGCTTTGAGAGATGCCAAGCTGGATCACCCTAATATCTGTCAGAGAAAGTGTCCTCCCATAGAACCAATTGTCTGGAGACCCCTTCCAGCTACGCGGTCATTCGTGTAACGATGTCCTACATGAAACCACGTAACACACGCTGTATCTGATTTCAGGTTGTTATGTCTGATTAATGTAATGGGGACACATTGCCTGTTAACACAATTTAATGTAAAATTTACAGTTTTCTTTTGGTCCCATTGATACCTATAGTAGACCCATATTGTAAAGATATAGCAATTGTAATTGCTTAAAAGTTTGACAATGTGGTAAATTTAATTCGATCTTGGAAAATTCATATAGGTTTTAGAAGAAATAATATTATACAGGTGTATATTCAGTAATTACCTAAATATTAATTGAAACCACAATTAGGAGAGATGTTCATTTTAGTTAGTCATGACACTCTTAATTCACCAGTTGGAAGTTAAACATTTTCTTTCATGCTAAATCGCTGAATTTGGAGTCAAAACTCTCTCGCTAAACAATAGCATTTTTTCAAAAACAGCATTCAGTATGTATTCCCTGTGTAGGACACAGATTTCCCCACAGTGTTGTGTGTTTGCAGGTTGGGGGGATGTTCGACACCATCCAGCGCAACAACACTAACACCACAGACTGGGCCATGCTGTTAGTGCAGCTCATCAGCCACGATGTGGTGGACATACAAACCAACAAGTAAGTCCTACTCAACAAACACACACAACTCATGTCAACTGCTTTCCTGCTGCAGTGTCAAGTGTCATGTGTCACTCCAGGGAGAAGGCTGGCCCAGTCCTTAAATGCGCCACTATTTGGTTCAGTTGCGCAAGAAACTTATTGATGGCTGTTAGAAACTCTGGTTCACTCTGATTGTTTCTACGTTTGTCTGTACCATGCCCGGCTCATGGATTTCAAGACCTGCATCACATCTGCCACATCAGTCTGACATATATTGGTTATATAACTGAACTATTGTTTGTCACTCACTCACTCACTCACTCACTCACTCACTCACTCACTCACTCACTCACTCACTCACTCGCTCGGCTTGCAGACTTGGTTGATGCATGTCATCGATCCCAATTGTGTGAATTTATGCTCATGATATCAATAACCGGATTGTCTGGTCCAGACACGATTATTTACAGACCGTCGTCATATAGCTGGAATATTGCTGGGTGTGGCATAAAACAACCAACCAACCATACAACCCACCCACCCACCCACTCACTCACTCACTCACTCACCATAGCTGTGTGTCTGAAATGTGTGTCCGGTTTAACAAGCATATGGATTTTCTAAATTCAACATGAACAGTAAATATCTATGACCTTTGTTATGTTGTCAGAATTTCTCCCAAATGAATTCATGTGCGTTTCTCAGACAACTTAAAGCTTATATACATTTTCTCCCATTTTTATTTCAGTGAGTTGTTCATGACGATCATTGACATGTTGTCTGTGCTGATACATGGAACACTGCTGCCGGACGGCTCCGACAAGGCCGATGACAACACCAAGACATACAACATCCTCACTAAGAAACTCAGGGTGAGTCCACCACTTGGTTTGGTAACCTTTGCAACACATGGCAGTCAGTTTTGAGGAAACAACATTATTATGTATGCTAGGTCCTTTGTCAAACCCTTTTAAAAATAAGTATGAAAGTAGTCTATGTTTGTTGCAAGGAAGAGTGAACCATCTCTGCTTATCTGATTATGTATGCTAGGTCCTTTGTCAAACCCTTTTAAAAATAAGTATGAAAGTAGTCTATGTTTGTTGCAAGGAAGAGTGAACCGACTCTGCTTTTTTCTCGATGTATTTTAGCCTCAAAACTCAACCAGTACTTCATGCTTGTTGTAAGATCTGCCTTAGGATGACTGGTTAGATATGACGTGTGATTGGCCTGATTGGCTGCCTCATTGGCAGCTTGGGGTGTATTCTCCTCAGGGAGCTGAGAATATGAATCGAGTGCAACTGGAACATTGCCCGGGGTAATAAATATGCATGTATCTATGCAGTGTGGTGTGGAAATATAGCACATTATAATTGATCTTATTGTCCCCTGTCACGAATTGGGGGATATGGAGTTCATCCATCTGCCGTTCCGTTCTTCCTTCCGTCTTTCTATCCGTTCGTCCGCTCCCTGAGCAACAGCCATGTCTCTGCAAAAATGCATTTAAGACACCAATTTTCGAACTCATTTCAGATCATGACCAGTAATATCAGCGTATAAAGTTTCATTTCTCTAACTTTAACAGTTTTTGAGAAAATCATCCCCTTTCAGAAGCGGACGATTTTCTCAAAAACTGTTAAAGTTAGAGAAATGAAACTTTATACGCTGATATTACTGGTCATGATCTGAAATGAGTTCGAAAATTGGTGTCTTAAATGCATTTTTGCAGAGACATGGCTGTTGCTCTGTGCTTTTCAACTTGTAGTGCATACTGCGTGAAATGGGGACAAGTAGTTTCTCGGTTCTCAGAAATTACTGAAGTAACATGGATGAAAGTTTGCATGTTTATCTAAGAGATACTTGTCAAGACTGAGTTCGATGCTCGGTGCTGTAAATTATATTAAATGCTATTTTCAACTAATTGCATAGTGTCTGCATGGGGTGAAGTTTTCTCAGAAACTACTAAAGTTACATCAATGATAGTTTACATGCTACATGAGCAAACAAATGGTCCCCATGGCTGTTTTCTTGTTATTACTATGGACGTGATGCCCTGACAGGGCCCATATTGCCACACTTTGTGACCCCTGAAGATCTGTGTTAGAATAGGTCTTCAGCAACACATGCTTGTCGTAAGAAGCGACTAACGGGATCGGGTGGTCAGGCTCTCTGACTTGGTTGATGCATGTCATCGTATTTCAATTGTGTAGATCGATGCTCATGATGTCAATCACTGGATTGTCTGGTCCAACAGTGTTTAACAACATTAACTCACTCCCCCATTGTTGCGTTGACAGAGAGAGATAGCAGACAAGCACACAGACTGCACGGACTCACTGCGCCTCCTGTTGCCACTCCACAAGAAGATGTACGAGGTGATCACATGTGAGTCCCATGGTAGTCTGGTCGACAGCAAGGGCAACAAGATAACTGGCTTCGACTCCATCGGGAAGAAACAGGTACGAGTACCATATTTCCCAGATATTTTTTTTTCAGGGGAATGTGAGTATGATCTCTTGACGTGTCTGAGCTGGAGACCACCATTTTTAACTTAAAACCACCACCATATGTCTTTTGTTTCTTGTTTTTGTGGTTCATCAGTTTGGCTTGAGCAGTCTTTGTTGTTATTTTGGTTGTGACTTCTTTTCTTGGTGTTCAGAATGCAAAATTATGATTTTGTACCGAGGAGACGGAGCTGTGAGAGGTGTGGCTACAGAAATGGTTGTACCCACTAGTTATGTGACTTCCTTCCTCCTGCAGCTAACACGTGACCGGTCATGCACAATCACATCACTACTAGTCATTGGACTCAACAGACGAACATATAGCAACCTCTGCCTGTCCTTTGATAACCAATGTGATCTCAATGATGTAGTATAAAGTCTTGTGTACTAGGATGGTCTTTTCAGGCTTATGTTAGTGTAATTATTGCCTGACTTTGGCTCTTTCTCGCGCTTACTTCGCGCGTGTGTTGTACCACCCACCATCTTGTTTTGCCACATGTCATGTGATTGTGTAACTATCTTAGCTCTTGTTTCATGTGCTTAGAACTTTTCTATTCTGGGCCTTTTAAGTATATAATGATACTCTTTATATTGTAATTTCTTTTGTAAACTTTCTAAAAGTTTGAGTTACAATTACATGCCCGTGTTTCTTTGTTGACATGTGTGTCTATTCTGCTGACAACGCTTGTCTATTTCTTTGAAACGTAGCTCACCATGCCGGGGCGACCTATTTGCAACCAGCCAGAACTATCAGCTCCAATCTCCCTGGTCCCGGACCCTCTGGCTTAGGCGGTCGACCATTCACCATTCCAGAGACAGGCCTTAAAGCGGATGCTTTTCCGCCACCTGTACTACTTACCAGGGTTCTGCAGAAGATAAAAAACACACTGAATCTATCACTGCTTTTGGCTCGCATTGTAGGCCTCACCACCTGCAACCCTCTCGAACTCCCACGGTGGCCACACCTACTGGTACATCCCCAGTCTGGTTGCCACACCCAGATCCAGACAAGTTTCTACTGCACGCTTGGCACATCTCCATCAGGCCTTAGGTGCTAAAGGTTACTCAGCTAGAGTGGTGAAGACCTTTGCCTTAGCACATAAACCGTCGACACACTGTCTGTATGATGATAAATGGGTTTCCTTTGAATCCTTTTGTAAGGATAAGAAACAGGACCCCATCTTTGCATCACTGCAGTTTATGGTCGAGTTCCTTCTCCATCTCCACAACAAGCGTCACCTCAAGGGTAGTACAATTACTACATATCTGGTTGCCCTCAATTCATTGATGGCAGTTACTATGGATCGCGAGATGACTAAGATCCCTGAACTTCAGTCACTTTTGCGGTCGTTTTGTCTGGAGGACCAACATGCCAAGTTTCGTCCCCCAGCTTGGGATTTGAACCTGGTATTGTAGTCACTCCATACCGCTCATTTTGAACCACTCCACTCGGCGATTTTCTTCAGTCTTTCCATAAAGATGGTTTTTCGCACTTGAATCAACTCCCAGGACAGGCGGACAGATCATTAACCATTCACCGTCCGAAGATGAGGATGAACTACTTCTGTGCCACATTCGAGCCTTAAGGGTTTTCATCCATCGATCCAAGACCCAACATGGATCTCGGAAATGACTATTTATTCCGGTCTCGCCTACATCCAAGACAGGAGTTACTCGTAACACTGTCTCACTGTGGTTGTGTTCCATTATACTACAGGAACTCAGATACTGTCTTCGCCCGTCATTATCTCCGAGACGTGGCTCTTGAGGATGTGCAAGGTGTTCATAGTTTCGGTCCACTGGTGGTTGCGCAGAAGGTCGCTTACCCCAGACGATCTTGATTCTTACACCTCGGAACTGACCCTGTGACCTCTCTGGTAGTTATTTCCCCAGACTAGGGGGTTTCTGCTTATTCCAGCTGCAGGAATCAGAATTTAGAACTTGTCCGACCCTCTTCTATTTTTCCTGTTTTCCTTGACTGGATTTCCCACCTCCTGCTCTCTCATGTGGCTCTATCGGACAGGAAGGTGTGTGGTTTCGGCTTTTCCCATACAGGGTGCTATCTGGTTACCAGGATTGGTTGGAGGGTCTCTCCTACCTTCTGTCTGAAAGGTATGTCCCTCTTCCGTTCCGTTCCGTCTGATAAAGATGCCTTAAGGTAGTAATGCAGGATAAGATATATTTTAGTAAAATCTAAATATTTGTTACATTTGGATACTTGTCATGCATTGCTACCTCCCTGCAAAGTTCTTTCAGATGGTCCGTTACTAGCAGTGATGTGATTGTGTGTGACCTCGCCACTTCCGGTCACGTGGTTGCTGTGGGAGGAAGGAGTTATTGAGTATGGTTTAACGCCGCTTTGAGCAATATTCCAGCACCAGAAATGGGCTTCACACATTGTACCCATGTTGGGAATTGAACTCGGGTCTTCGGCGTGACATCCACCCCCTGCTGGAGGAAGAAAGCCACACAACTAGTGGGTACAACACCTTCTGTAGCCAGACCTCTCACAGCTCCATCTCCTAAGTGAAAAACAGCAGTAGAAGCATTCAGGCAGTAATGTCAAAAATATTTAGATTTCACTAATTTACCTGTGACAATGCATGTTGCTGTGCCAGTAGCCTAAATTTGAAAAAGAAGTGCAGGGCTTAAAGGAGTTTGAAACAAGAAGCAAGGAACATTTTGAGACTTAATGGCATGATTGTTGAGTGAATTTGTAGCTGACTAGTCCATGAAGGGAGAGGCCCCCTCAGTTAGGGGCACAGGCAGTACTTCACAGGTCTGTAATACAACGTTCCTCCAGCCCCCATGAATACACCTAGCTGCTTTACAATGCAGTAGGTGCAGGTTCCAGCTTGTGCTCAGATTATATCGGCCCCTCCTCTACATATTGCTTCAATGTCAGGGACTGGTGAAGATCCGGGGTAGAATAGGTCTTCAGCAACCCATGCTTGCCGTAAAAGGTGACTATGCTTGTCGTAAGAGGCGACTAACGGGATTGGGCGGTCAGGCTTGTTGACTTTGTTGATGCCTGTCATCAATCCCAATTGCTCATGATATTAATCACTGGATTGTCTGGTCCAGACTCGATTATTTACAGACCGCCGTCATATAGTTGGAATATTGCCGTGTGCAGCGTTAAACAACAAACAAACAAACAAACAAACACAATGCCAGGCAGTCCTTGGACTTGTATAAACAAACCTGTGAAGTACTAAGGATGGCAACAGGGTCAGAAACGTAACAGTTATCAGTCATAGCACATTTTTAAAGGGCAAGTTAAACACAAAAATTAAACTTATGTTTTTTTACTTTTTGCCAAAATAGTTGATTAACGTGTGAAATGTGAACCTGAAGCATATCAGCTGTCACCGTGGACATAGTAGTTGTACACAATGTTCAGTTCTAGGATTTTTGTTTTGCACTCACATTAGACCTCTGTGCAAAATGTTTTTTTGGCATTGCTCGTCTCCCTCTGATTATCACTGTAAGTGATATGTGTGTGTTAAATCAGCCTGACAATGGGTGTTTTCGTTCTTTGATTATGAACAGGTTATTGTTTGCACCTCAGACAAAATACATATTTTGCTCTAAAATATGTGTCAAATGTCAATCCCCCCAGCTTTCTTCCCCACTCAAGCTGACTGTACAAAGCAATGTCAAATCAAACACTCACTCGATATACTTCTTTTAATCAATCAAGGTTTTTACTAAATGTAAATTTCAGGATGCTCTGTGCAAAAGTCAGATGTTGACTTGGAACATCATGCTTGCACACAAATTAGTGAGCTATTGGTCATACTTTGAAATAACAAGTTCAACTACATGCTGATGCTCAAGGCTATTAGCTGACATGACTGACAAGAAGAGATTTGAATCTGAATCTAGATATTCACACATGTAGGCACCATTAATATCATCATCAAGGGAGATAACCCATGTAGTTGGTGAAGAAATTGTTCAGTGTTGAAATTTTTGTGTAGACTTGCCCTTCAAGTTAGTAGACTTCCAAGGTTATATTCTTTCCGTGTTTCAGAAACTGGATATGAGAGTGTTATTTCAGGGCCTGCAAGTAGCGCAGAAGGTGCCGATCAGTCCATGGGATGTGATCGAGGGCTACAAGAACCCGGCTCCTATCTCGTGGTCCTACTTCAGCGCTGTTAGGTTAGAGCGCAAGCCTCTCAAGTATGAGGATCAGCACCGGTAAGACCACATGAGACATCAAAGCCACAGCCACAACCACAGCCACAACCACAACCACAGCCACAGCCACAGCCACAGCCACATCACTATCACAGCACTGTCACAGTCAGCATTTCTATTTCAGTCACAGTGATGTCACATTCTCATCACTGTCAAACCAAAGCCATGTCCCAGCCACATAACAGTCAATGTTATCATTGCACAATCACAGCCACGTCACAGCCATGTCACAGCCACGTCACATCAGTCACAGTCATGTCACATCAGTCACTGTCATGTCACAGTCATGTCACAGTCATGTCACATCAGTCACAGTCATGTCACACCAACATCACATCCATATAATCACAGTCAAATCAAAGCCACGTCACAGCCACGTCACAGCCACGTCACAGCCATGTCACAGCCATGTCACAGTCATGTCACAGTCACATCAGTCACAGTCATGTCACAGCCACGTCACAGCCACGTCACAGTCAAATCAAAGCCACGTCACAGCCACGTCACAGCAACGTCACAGCCACGTCACAGTCACGTCACAGCCATGTCACAGTCATGTCACAGTCATGCCACAGTCATGCCACAGCCACTTCACGGCCACGTCACAGTCATGTCACAGTCATGTCACATCAGTCACAGTCATGTCACATCAGTCACAGTCATGTCACAGCCATGTCACAGCCACGTCACAGCCACGTCACAGCCACGTCACTGTCATGTCACAGCCATGTCACAGTCATGTCACAGCCATGTCACAGTCATGTCACAGCCATGTCACAGTCATGTCACAGCCATGTCACAGTCATGTCACAGTCATGTCACATCAGTCACAGCCACGTCACAGCCATGTCACAGCCAGGTCACAGTCATGTCACATCAGTCACAGTCATGTCACATCAGTCACAGTCATGTCACTTCTGCCACAGTCATGTCACAGTCATGTCACATCAGTCACAGCCAGGTCACAGTCATGTCACTGACATGTCACGTCACAGTTACGTCACTGCCATGTAACAGTCACGTCAGTCATGTCACAGTCACGTCACACTCACATCACTGCCATGTAACAGTCACGTCAGTCATGTCACAGTCACGTCACACTCACATCACTGCCATGTAACAGTCACGTCAGTCATGTCACAGTCACGTCACACTCACATCACTGCTATGTAACAGTCAAATTAATTCACGTCACAGTCACATCACAGCTATATCACAGCCATGTCACAGTCACATCACAGCCATATAATCACAGTCAAATAAAAACCATGTCCCTGGTCAACAGCCACATCAGAGTCAAGTTACAGCGACATCTGACCCTTGAAGATCCGGGGTAGAATATGTCTTCATCTCCCCATGCTTTCTGTAAAAGCGACTATACTTGTCGTAAGAGGAGATTAACAGGACGAGCTGACTTGGTCATGTCATCGTATCCCAATTGGGTGGATCGATGCTCATGATGTCAATCACTGGATTGTCTGGTCCAGACAGGGTGTTGTATACAGGGTGCCATGGTACATGGTGTTGTATACAGGGTGTCATGGTATAGGGTGTTGTATACAGGGTGTCGTGGTACAGGGTGTTGTATACAGGGTGTCACAGTAAAGGGTGTTGTATTCAGGGTGTCATGGTAGTGGGTGTTGTAAACAGGGTGTTGTGGTACAGGGTGTCATGGTACAAGGTGTTGTATACATGGTGTTGTATACAGGGTGTCGTTGTACAGGGTGTTGTATACAGGGTGTCGTTGTACAGGGTGTTGTATACAGGGTGTTGTATACAGGGTGTCGTGGTACAGGGTGTTGTATATAGGGTGTCTCAGTAAAGGGTGTTGTATTCAGGGTGTCATGGTAGTGGGTGTTGTATACAGGGTGTCATGGTACAGGGTGTTGTATACAGGGTGTCATGGTACAGGGTGTTGTACACAGGGTGTCATTGTACAGGGTGTTGTATACAGGGTGTCATGGTACAGGGTGTTGTATACAGGGTGTCGTGGTACAGGGTGTTGTATACAGGGTGTCATGGTACAGGGTGTTATATACAGGGTGTCACAGTAAAGGGTGTTGTATTCAGGGTGTCATGGTAGTGGGTGTTGTATACAGGGTGTCGTGGTACATGGTACATGGTGTTGTATACAGGGTGTCATGGTACAGGGTGTAATGGTACAGGGTGTTGTATACAGGGTGTCACAGTAAAGGGTGTTATATACAGGGTGTCACAGTAAAGGGTGTTGTATTCAGGGTGTCATGGTAGTGGGTGTTGTATACAGGGTGTCGTGGTACATGGTACATGGTGTTGTATACAGGGTGTCGTGGTACAGGGTATTGTATACAGGGTGTCATGGTACAGGGTGTTGTATACAGGGTGACATGGTACAGGGTGTTGTATACAGGGTGACATGGTATAGGGTGTCATGGTACAGGGTGTCACAGTACAGGGTGTTGCTGTATGGGGTTGGGCCATGAGGCTACATGTGTTGCTATATGGGGTTGGGCCATGAGGCTACATGTGTTGTTGTATGGGGTTGGGCCATGAGGCTACATGTGTTGGTGTATGAGGTTGGGCCATGAGGCTTCATGTGTTGTTGTATGGGGTTGGGCCATGAGGCTACATGTGTTGTTGTATGGGGTTGGGCCATGAGGCTACATGTGTTGTTGTATGAGGTTGGGCCATGAGGCTACATGTGTTGGTGTATGGGGTTGGGCCATGAGGCTACATGTGTTGTTGTATGGGGTTGGGCCATGAGGCTACATGTGTTGTTGTATGAGGTTGGGCCATGAGGCTACATGTGTTGGTGTATGAGGTTGGGCCATGAGGCTACATGTGTTGGTGTATGGGGTTGGGCCATGAGGCTACATGTGTTGTTGTATGAGGTTGGGCCATGAGGCTACATGTGTTGGTGTATGAGGTTGGGCCATGAGGCTACATGTGTTGCTGTATGGGGTTTGGCCATGAGGCTACATGTTTTGTTGTATGGGGTTGGGCCATGAGGCTACATGTGTTGTTGTATGGGGTTGGGCCATGAGGCTACATGTATTGTTGTCTGTGTCCAGGCTGCTGCTGTACCACACCCACTCCATGAAGAGGCCCAACAGCTACTACCTGGAGGCTCCCAGCCTCCCACCAGAGGACCTTGAACCCCCACCAGAGAAAGTGGTATGACAGTGTTATTCTCAAGTGGATGTTGATACATATAAATGTCACATGATTTACCCTCTGGGTTTTTTCCATCTTTAGAAGGTGTTTCCCATTGGGTGTTCCAGCACGATATGTACCCGTTATTCTGATATCCTCTGTCCTCAATCTTCTGATGTCATGTGTCCGTTAATCATCAATCTTCTGATGTCATTTGTCTGTTAATCCTCAATCTTCTGATGTCATGTGTCCGTTAAGCCTCAATCTTCTGATGTCATTTGTCCGTTAATCCTCAATCTTCTGATGTCATGTGTCCGTTAATCCTCAATCTTCTGATGTCATGTGTCTGTTAATCCTCAATCTTCTGATGTCATTTGTCCGTTAATCAACAATCTTCTGATGTCATGTGTCTGTTAATCCTCAATCTTCTGATGTCATTTGTCCGTTAATCCTCAATCTTCTGATGTCATGTGTCCGTTAATCCTCAATCTTCTGATGTCATTTGTCCGTTAATCAACAATCTTCTGATGTCATGTGTCTGTTAATCCTCAATCTTCTGATGTCATTTGTCCGTTAATCATCAATCTTCTGATGTCATGTGTCTGTTAATCCTCAATCTTCTGATGTCATTTGTCCGTTAATCCTCAATCTTCTGATGTCATGTCTGTTAATCCTCAATCTTCTGATGTCATTTGTCCGTTAATCCTCAATCTTCTGATGTCATGTCTGTTAATCCTCAATCTTCTGATGTCATTTGTCCGTTAATCAACAATCTTCTGATGTCATTTGTCCGTTAATCCTCAATCTTCTGATGTCATGTGTCTGTTAATCCTCAATCTTCTGATGTCATGTGTCTGTTAATCCTCAATCTTCTGATGTCATTTGTCCGTTAATCAACAATCTTCTGATGTCATGTGTCTGTTAATCCTCAATCTTCTGATGTCATTTGTCCGTTAATCAACAATCTTTTGATGTCATGTGTCTGTTAATCCTCAATCTTCTGATGTCATTTGTCCGTTAATCAACAATCTTCTGATGTCATGTGTCTGTTAATCCTCAATCTTCTGATGTCATGTGTCTGTTAATCAACAATCTTCTGATGTCATGTGTCTGTTAATCCTTAATTCTTCTGATGTCATGTGTCCGTTAATCCTCAATCTTCTGAAGTCATTTGTCCGTTAATCAACAATCTTCTGAAGTCATTTGTCCGTTAATCGACAATCTTCTGATGTCATGTGTCCGTTAATCCTCAATCTTCTGATGTCATGTGACCGTTAATCCTCAATCTTCTGATGTCATGTGTCCGTTATCCTCAATCTTCTGATGTCATGTATCCGTTAATCCTCAATCTTCTGTTGTCCCCCTGCTATGTTGGTTCTTCAGACTCTGCGTCTTGTATTGCAGGAAGAAAAGTCGATAGACAAGAATGAGAGCAACAATCAGGAAGGTGTCAAGAAACAGAAAAGTCAGCGACGGAGACGCCAGCCCAAGCCCTCAACGATACAGGTATTTTGTCAGAATATCGGACCTCATCTTCTAATGTCAGCTTGATAGCCCATACACTAATGCTACAACAACCCCCTGGTAGATGCTTCACTACATACACATTAGACACAGCCATGCTGTAGTGAGTCTGTGAACAGTGTCAGAGTATCCAGCAAGGTGTTATTCTAGGCAGTGTGGTGACATTTCCAGCAGCAATCATATGACAGATACACCCTTGACAGTGGTGACACAAATCCACAGTTCCTGATTTGAAGAAAAGAAATATTTATTACAAAATTCAAAATAAACATATGAGTAACTCTCCCTAATCATAAGTTGTTATACAAGCTGACATGATGTATTATCTGCTACTGAATACTTGATTCAGCCGCCAGTGCGACCCTACCCCTACCAGGAGACGATGTACCAGCCGAGCGGCCCCCACCCAACCTGGATGACTCCACCCCAGGCTCAACCCTCCTATGGCTACTCCTCCCAACCCATGCCGGGCCCAGGAGACTACAGTATGTACACCCCACCTACACACAAACAAACACTTGGGAAGGGAACCATCCAATCATTTAACTAACCCTGCATTGCTTGCATTTACAGATTATGCTTAAGCTGTGCTAAAAATTGGGGTTGAAAGTCTTGGCTCCTTGTCATAACCCTTTTGTTAAAATTAAAGATTCAGACGGTACCTTGAGTAAAATGCTAATAATAATGTGCACTTGTAATGCGCTAGTCTCCATGTAGCCGTTCATGCTCAAAGTTGGGGAAGGGGTGGCCCAGTCGTCTAAAGCGCCGCGATTCGCTGTGCAGAGTTGCGTCCCTTGGACACGCCAGAAATCTATGATCGTGGGTTCGAATCCCGGTTTGCCCCGATTATGTTTCTAGGTTTGTCAGCACCATACCCGTGCTCGTGGATTTCACCGATGTGGTAAACGTCTTAGACCTGCATCACTTTGGGCTTTCCTCCCACATTAAGCTGACACGCCATGATATAACTGGAATAATGTTAAAAGCGGTGTTAAACCCAACTCACTCACTCACTCACTCACTCATGCTCAAAGTGCTACACCAAGGACAAGGGGAAAAGTTTGTAATGAAATAGTACTAAGCAAAGAATCTGTGAAGGTTTCTAATCATGTATATACCAGGAAATCTGGAGCACACTGTTCAGTTGTAACACTCTCTTGTAATTTGTAGGCAGAGATTGTGAAGAAACGATAAATTTATGTACATGTCATGTGTCTCTTACATTGCTCGCAGAAGTCATTGTGAGGGTAAGGCATGTCTGTTGTATACATCATGGACAGTTTTTATCCATCTCATTAAAATCATATCTTAGCTCGACCCGCTAATCTAATGCGATCCCAAGTCACGTCAGAATGACGTTTCATCTGACCAATCAGAGTGCCGCTTACCAGATCGGAATTGACATGCATGGAATCTGTTTGTTTTTGTACAGCAAATCGACAACGATTTCCTGGCAACGCCAGCAGCTCGAAGTTCCTCCTGAACAGTATGCTACGGCAGCGGTCCACCCACCCGCAGCAGGGGCAGTACGGGATGCAGCAGAACCCCATGAATCCCATGATGATCCAGAAGCATCAGCAGCATCAGTACATCCGCCAGCAGATCCTGCAGAAACAACGCATGTATGGCGGCAACAACATCAGCAACAGCTCCATGCACCCTATGCCAGGTGAGGGGGCCATGGTCGCTTCCACCGCTGACAGCAATATCACAGCTGCATCACGGTGGCCTGGGAGGGGTGAGTTTGGACCTGGCAAACAACGATCCATGTCAGGTTATCATTTCTCAAATGGGGACTTCCCAGGGAAATCCCAGTTCTTGTTAATATAGTTGAAACTAATACTATAGCTCGGTAGAGGTGCCTGGTATGTACTGTAAATTTTTAAAATTAATGTGAGCGTGAATTAAATGCAATAATGCGAGTGGTCTTTGTTCGCATTAATGAAACTTCCCATTTATGTCTCCAAATGACTATCAACAATAAGACGGCATCACCGCACACTTTGGATAGCGGAAATACCAACTTGAATATAAACACAAACACGATTGATTGAGCAGCAGTTGTAATAAGTATAGGAATCACACAACGGGCATCCGGTGAGTTATCACTGCTGGGGTCAAGAGTTCTACCCACTCGTGTCAAACTAGGCATCATTGACAAATCCAATCAGTGATCTGTTGTTGGTTCAATTATTTTATTGCCCTTGAACTTAATGCCAGTCAACAGAATAGACATATAAACTGGGTGTTGTTTTTAGGAAAACACTGTTTATTGTTATTACGGAAGTGCTTTACTCAGTGCTAATAAGCGGTGCTATTTGCTGTTTGATTGGATTAAAGTAGGATATGTATCATTCCACTGGGGATGGGGTGGGGGCAGTTGCATTGATTTGGAGTCGCCTTTTTGGCTAGGGGTCAGCAGTCGTTTTAAATTGGAGACGCATTAATTTCAAGATTTCCAGTATTTGATAACAGGGCCATGACACTAAGGGACACTTAGTCAAGGGCATTAATCCCTGGACCTGGTCTAGGGAATGAATGGGCAAGTGATTTTAAGCACATAGTCTTAAAGTGCAGATTTGCCTCCCTTAGCATATTAATCAAGATTATGGTTCAGCATCCAATCTCATTAAAATCAGATCTTAGTTCTTGCTATCACTGAACAAAGATCTGAGGACATCCCATTTTGGGTCACGTCAGAACGACCTTTCATCCAACCAATCAGAGCGTCGCTTACCCGATCATGAAAGTGACAGACGGAATGTGTTTTCCAATCATGCAACCTCGAAATATTTAACACTGGGTATTCCGAACGACAGTTACAGGATTTATGATTATATCCATACAATCTATCCCATCTGTGAGCCATTCCAGAATGTTCTTTTCAACAGTGTTAATTTTTTAATTCGAGAATACGTCAAAATATGTTTTGAAGCGTCGCCAGTTTGAAACTAGCGTCGTAAAGCTCGAGAGAGTTCGCTTCTGATTGGCTTATACCGATTTCTTGTCAGTTATTTCATTTATCGGTCAAAGGTCGTTCTGACGTGACCCGTAATGGGATGTCCTCAGATCTTTGTTTAGCGCTACCGAAAACTAAGATCTGATTTTAATGAGATTGGTTCAGCATTATACATGTGTTCGTGTCACTGAACATTTCGTCTTTTCTCTTACTGTTTCCTCACTAACCAATTGTACTTTGGTAAGTTTTTATGGCAAGGTTGTTATTGATACTGTTTGAGATGTTGCACAGGCTATATCCAGTTAATTGCAAACTGCAGTTGTCTGAGAGACAATCTAAAGTTGTATTGTTGCTTGCAGGGATGCCCCAGAATTACCCAGGAGCACCCTATGGGTCGATGCCACAGCAGCAGCAGCAGCAGCAGCAGCAGCAGCCACCTCAGCAGCAGGGTCCTTCCCGGATGATGGACCCGATTGGGGGCAACATGATGCAGAGCTACAACCAGCAGTACCAGGACTCGGGGAACACCCCCAGCATGATGCAGCCGGCCATGCAGCAGCAGGGATACATCGCCCAGCAACCCATGCAGCAGGCCCAGCCACAGTACCCACCCACTCAGAGGTGCGGTCATGTCCACAAATACCTTCCTTTTGGGATGGTCATACTGCTTTTTAGATTGTATGACTAATACATGTTATGCTGGATTTAAATAAGATATTGACAGACTAAGGCTAATAAGCCAACTAACAGTATCCCGTGAAGATCTGGATAGAGAATAGGTCTTCAGCAGCCCATGCTTGCCGTAAAAGGTGACTATGCTTGTCGTAAGAGGCGACCAGTCATGCTTGCTGACTTGGTAGATGCATGTCATCGTATTCCACTGGATTGTCTCTCCAGACTCGATTATTTACAGACCACCATCATATAGCTGGAATATTGCTGAGTGCGGCAGTAAACAACAAACGCACAAACAAAAACCCAACTAACAAAGCCTTAAAAATGACAATTGAAAGCCTTGAAACGCCTTGAATGAACCTTGAATTTTGTTGTTCCTTATCTGTATAAACTGTGAATGACGTGTTTGACTTGTGTGTGTTCCAGGATGCAGCCCCCCATGGCCAACATGAACTCCGGCATGGCCAGCATGTCCGGCTACAACCAGATGGGCCCTGCCGCGCCACAGCAGCAACAGTCATCCTACATGACACCGCAGCAGCAACAGCGCTACCAGCAGATGAGGCAACAACAACAGCAGCAGCAGATGATGCAGATGCAGCAGCAACCCCAGCCGCAGATGTCACAGTCGTCAATTCCGACGCAGCAGCAACAGGCGACAGCCGCACTGGTGGCTCAGCTACAGCGACAGATGTCTGGGGGGAATAACATGCAGGGCCAACAGGGGCAGCAGTATCAACAGCAGTATCAACAGCAGTACCAGGTGTAGGCTGCGGTGACCAGCTGTACAGAATGTCAACATAGAACAGTATCAACAGCAGTACCAGGTGTAGGCTGGGGTGACCAGCTGTACAGAATGTCAACATAGAACAGTATCAACAGTAGAACAAAGTATATACACCAACTTGAGAATGCACAAATGTTATAAGTAACAACTTGCTCATGATACATCCAGCATGGAAAATCAACAGCACAGTTCTGAATATCCACAACAGCATTGTCTATCAACAACACATATGTCACAAGAGCCAAATATGGAGATATAGGACATGTGTTGTGAAGCAGAAGAATCAATACCAACAAGTGCTGTGTGATACAGCTTGTACTCCCAGTGCTGCAGAGGAAGCTGGAGCCAAGTTGAGATGCAGTGATGGCCGACCCCAAGGCCACAGTAGACAATGTTGTTGGGAGGCTGTTGGTATGGCTGGTGTTGTGTGTGTTCTGTCGGAATGTCATGTTGACGTACTACAGTGAACCATGTGCAATGTCTCCTGTCCTTCATCATGTCATTGTCCATCTGTCATCATCTGATTGTTCATGTCTTTGTTGTATCAGTCAAACAACAAATCAAACCCAGAGCAATAACCCCTTGAATAGGCAGAGTAAGAACCCTCCTCCACCCCAGTCCCCGTTGTTCTACATGCAGGTCAACATCAAACATAGGCCAGCCTTAGTCATTACTTGGATCCCTCTGTAGGTAGGACGCTGTACCAGGACAAATCAATGAGATTGCAATCGCTCGGTCAATAAATCAATTTATTTTACTGTTACTGGTCATACGATTAGAGGAGCGGTGGGGTAGCTGAAGCCCCGGGTTTGATTCCCCACATGGGTACTATGTGTGAAGCCCATTTCTGGTGTCCACCGTGGTATTGCTAAAAGCGGCGTAAAACCATACCCACTCATATGATTTGTGAAAACAAACAAGATTTTTTTCTTATCACTATTCCAAGGAATGACAATGGCTTGCTTCACTGTTTCCTCAATGATACGCATGGGAGAACATACTAGTCTAATATCTGTTCTTTATTGGCATAACAAACATTCTTGTTTACTTACAATGCATTTACTTGTACATTTAAGATGGAAAAGTATGACATTTTGTCTAGTAACTGTAAATAATTGCTTGTTCAGCTCGTCGTGTATAGTTGTACTATGTTAGATTTGTACAGTTGTGTGTATAGATATTGTGTCATTTCTGCATCATTGTGCCCCTGGATGGAGCTCACCCTCTCATTATTTATTGTCATGAAGCCGAGTGCTGGATCATGGAATCACATTTACAATCAAACTGAATCACGATTCAAATTCATTGTAAATAAATTCAAGAACAAAGATCCTTTAGTCAGTGTTGTGTTTTAACAGTTTATCTCTGGTGATTGCTCATAAATCAAGTCCACATTTTTCAGAATTCAGCCAAGCAGCTAGATCCATTTGCTGGTCCAATTGTTAATGGTTGATGCTCACTCACTCGCTTTGCTGATATATTGTCCCTGTGGAGATAATGGGATCAGTCTCCCTAGTATCGTGTGGTGTCAACGTGAATCAGACATGCGGCTGCAATTTTGCCTGAGACGAGACCGCCATTAAGGTGTGGACCACCGTGACAGCAGCTTCTACACGAGGTCACCTCTCTGCTGCTACAATGCAGGACACATTGCCCCGTGGGCGGTCTGGCTTAGATCTGACCCCCAGCAACCTATGCTGATCGTAAGAGGTGACCAAATGGATCGGGTGGTCAGGCTTGGTGACTTGGTTGATGGTGTGGAATCATACCCATAGCATGGATTGTTGTTCACAATATCACTGGATTGTATGGTCCAGACTCAATCATTTACAAGCCGCCATGAATATTTCTGAGTGCAGTGTTAAACAACAAACAAAACATTACTCATTGAATTATGCATTACTGGTTCAATAAGGGGTTAAAATCACACGTTAGAAAATCACACATTTTCAAAATGGCTGTCATGCCTTAAATTGGAGCAGATTTGTCTTGCAGTTATTAGATGTTAGACACAACTTTGCAGCGATCATGTACACTGATTTCAGTCTCTGGACAGGTGACAGATGTGCATTCAAATACATGGGGTCTTTGGTGATGATGTAGTCGGTCACCAATAGGAAGACCATGTCTCCAGTAGCCCATGCTTGTACGAGATGACTAGAGATGACATGGCTGATATTGTCTTTGTACAGACTGGTTCCGTCACTGGTTTCTGTGGTACAGGGGGGAACGGGTGGCCCAGTCGTCTAAAGCGCTGCGATTCGCTGTGCAGAGTTGCGTCCCTTGGGCACGCCAGAAACCTGTGATTGTGGGTTCGAATCCCGGTTCACCCCGTTTATGTTTCTAGGTTTGTCAGCACTGACATGCCGTGATATAACTGGAATACTGTTGAAAGCGGCGTTAAACCCAACTCACTCACTCTCTGGTACAGACTTGATCATTTTAAGGCTGTTGTTGTACTGCTGGAATATTGTGGATTGCACAAAACAACATTCATTCACACACACACACAAAAGCAGAAGACACACATTTGTCAGAATATATTTTTAATTCATGTATGTGATCCTTACCTTTATACAACCGTGGAATAAGTTTCAAACTGTTACTTGTTTTGAAGTAACATCAGCTCACAACGATACAATCATATTTAACAGCAACACTAAGAAATCTGTGAAATTGTGTTTGAAAACATACAAACTTCAGAAAAACTTTGATGCAAGTCAATTAACACATTGAACACAGCCATAGCTAAGGCTGTTTAGGTGCAATAGTTTAGTAAGGCAGCATTTGTGTTTATAAGTAACAAGTGTTGTTCACATTACTAAATACAACCGTTGTTGAAACAAAAACCTAAATGGACATTCAGACAACTAGTTAAAATGACAAGACAACCATGTGACCATATGTGTACCGCTGAGTAATATATTGTAGAATCACAAAAATATATACGGTGGTTTGTTGCAATGGACGAAGAAATCAAGTAAGGCACTGAAGTATGGCACTGGTGATTTGGTGATGCCCATGAGAAGGAGTTGTGCTGACTGACCAAGAATCATAATTGGGGTGAATCTTGCTTGTACCCACTTCCGCTGATCCTGGCATGGCTAAGGAAAGCAACTCTACACCGCAATTTTCGGCAGCTTAAACCACAGGGACCCTGTGCCATATAAACATTTTACTGTACAGTGTAGTTTTCATGGACAAATATTGAACAACATTCATTTCTGATTCCCTCTTTAATTAGAACATCCAGATAAACATACTAGTGTGTATTGATAAGAACCTAATACACGTATACTGCAGCAGTCCCCTCCGTTGTACAGTGGGCAGACCGTACACTGACAGAACCCAGGGCTTGCATGGCTCACCAGATGCATTCACCTGCAGTCTTCCTGAACCTACATGCACAGCAAACACCCCGACTCCACCCCCACCCCCATGTTCTTCGACACTTGACAACTATTTCAAATTCAAATTCAATGCATACACAAGCATGTGATATAAAAACTTACACCAGACCACAGATCTATATAAGTTATAAAAGTCTGTGACCAAACAATTTATCATCAAGCTGCGACACAACTACTATATTGATACTTATGAAATAAAAATACCATATTCGACGTAATAAGCACCCAACACTAATAAGCGCTCACGGCAATATTTGCTAATACATTGGCTACTGAACAATCCCAATTAGCACCTTATCCGATTGATCAATGTACACAAGACTTATTTATTCGTGTATAATACCACTCTTGTGTTATATGCACCCTAAATTATGGGCAATTAAATACTGGAAAATATATCTGTCGTATATAAACATTTCAGGCTGTCAGCACAAACCACAAAATATACGATCTTTCAACTTTTTTTTTTTTCACCAATATAATATTCTTATAAATACGAGCGTAAGATCCCCCTATTTCTAATTTTGTGAGTGCCCTGGGCCCTTATTACGTCGAATATGGTACTGCAAATACAGATTTATCCACATACGAAATCTGCAGATAACTCGACAAGTTTGCTGAACATTTTAATTTGAGCATTGCCTCCAGGAACTGTGGCAGCAGAGTGCTGCACTGGTTGCCCTAAGTTCACGCTCCTGACTAGTAGTATGGAATCCACCCCTCCAGCTAGTTATTGTACACTCAACCTCCTCCACAACCAGTCACCAGTAGATACAAATACATTCACAACGTGGGAGTACACCTAACAACCCATCACAACTCACACATAATATACTGATATGTTACTTGACTTTCACTTGCAGAGATCCTAGATCATTACCATTCTTTGCACTGACACAATCGTACATTCCTACAGATCAAAATCCTATTTTCTATCCCTGGTTTATTTTCTATTTAAGTGTCACCAGTGATATTGTACCATCTGACAGATAGATCTTGTAAACAAGAATTGGCAGTTTGGAAGAAAACATGCCAATCGATCATGATAACCTAGTAAAACTGATTTCCTTAACCCAAAATACTTAAAAAGCTATAAATAAATATCTGGTCAGGTTAAAATGTAATCATGGCAAGAATAAAACAAACAAGCAGCATTGTCTAAAATGTATCCCTGTAAATACCATCAAACGTGGCTACAACAAAACAATGAAAGCAAATCTAGGCTATAGTCAAACAATTTTAGGGTCTGAAAATGATTGCTCTTGAGAACTGGCGAGCTCATTTAGCTGTACAGCCCTGTGCAGCTTAAACTGATGTGTACATCTGCAAGTGCTGACACATCTGGAAGTCAGTTCCTTACACAGGGGAAACAACTCTGCCTTGTAGCATTCGATATTTCCGTATAACAGGCGCTCTATTGCCACTGACAATGTAAATGCAAGCTTTAGACAGCAGTTCTTGGGAGATCTGCTCAAAGCATTTAAAACTGACTTCCAAAATTGGAAAATAAAAATGGTTTGTGTGAAAGACTCAAGAAAATTGGAGAATGAGCAGTTTTGCATCAGGTCATGTGATCATTGTGTCTGCTACCTTGGGTCTTATGAAACCGCTGCAGCACTAGCTGTGCCGGGCCTTCTTACCCAAAGTGATCTTAGCCCTACAATGATCGTAACTCCAATACTCTAACATAGACTTAAGATTGATGTAGCACTACGCTACCTTTGTGCGTGTGGGCCATGCTTCATGAAGCGCACTCAGAGCAACACTGACACCGGGATGACACCAGCTTACTGTTGAACTTCATCATGACACTGTAACGTCACAATTCTGAACACCATTGACTTCAGTCAACACAATGAATTCAGCTTGCACTATTGTCAACAGGGTGGGATATCCTTCAGTGATGAACACAAACATCACCTTGGCAGCAGTACATGTGTGACACAAGACAAGCTACTTGTCCTGTAGGGCAGTGTTGCATGTGTGATATGTACATGAGCAATACAATTTATCTGTACAAGAGACTTGATTCTCAGAGACAATAATAAGTGTTAACCTTTGATGGACAACTCGTAGGTAACTCTGTCACCTCCTCTCACTCAGTAAACGAGCATAAAAACCACAGACAGAATCAGTTCTTCTGCAATTTCGCTGATCTTGTATATATACACAGCTGAGTTACCAGATACAAAGTCTTCCATATTTTAAGAAAATGACCATGGACATGTTGCTGTTGCTTTTACATCAATTCTCATTTTTTCATTTAAATCTAAAACATTTTTTTATATCGACATCAAACATCTTCTGATCTGGTGTTACTGGCAATACCATGACCTTTCCCACGGAATTGGTGCCAAAGGTCAAGGTCATCACCAGTTCTCCGACCTCTGTGTTCTTCCTCTGCAGAGTTGGTGTAAAAGGTCAAGGTCATCACCAGTTTTCCGACCTCTGCAGCATCCTGTTGTTTTTCCTTTGTGGAGTTGAAGTCTGTGATTCCCCTCGCATGATGGCTGCCATTTCACAGTTCCGGTTCCGCTGGTAGTTCTGCATGGCTTCTGGCCGGGTACGCACTGGCGACGTCTTGGGACGCCTGAACATAAAATACAACAAGATTTAGTAAGTTTACTTTTCATCCCGAGTCAAGAATATTTCAGCCACAAAAGCAATGAATGTCGTGTGTGACATTGATGGTACAGTTTGGCTGTTGTACTCAGTGGGGATTCCTGGGCAGACGTCACCAAAGTAACCAACCATGTTGTAACTAATGATGATCTGATTGTTACCAAGTGTTGATGATGTATCGTCGTGCATCTTGAGCTCATGGTGTCAGCCAATGGTTTGCCAAGCCAGGCCCACACCACTCTTAAACAATACAACTGACAGAACTACCGAGGCAGGAACTGTTGACCTACATCCCGACTCACCTATCTTCAGTGGTCATCATGTGTTTGGGCACTGATTTCTTGTTTGCTGGTGACTGTCCTGGCGACTGTCCTCCTGGTGACACGGCCATGGCCATTATGTCCCCCATGCTGTCCATGGAGTTCTTGCTGGCGATCTGCTCGGCCTCGGGGCGCAGGCGGTGGTGAGGGGGGATCTCGTCCCAGCCCCTGAAACAGACAACAGACACAATGATACATCACAGTCACATGCTTACATCAAGCCACAATAGCGTCATCCACAGACATTTCCTTTCACCGTCAACAGTTTCACCAGAGTCAGGGGTGAAACATTTCTCAAAATACAGGTCTTAAATTTGTCTATTGCCTGCAAATAAAGTCAATTTTGATACAATTTCAAATTCTAAAATCTGCCCCTCTCGCCCCACCATGAGACTGTACAATTTCCAACACCATTCACCCTGGGCATGGGTTTCATGAACAAAACTGTTTTCTTATTCTTATGTGCCTCTATACATATGTGTGTATATGTGCATACACCTCTGGAGCAGGTGCAAATGTAAATGTGCACTGTGTGTATATGTTGCAATGTGAACGTTCATGTTAATGTAAGAGGATGATCTAATCTTTTGCCAACACCAAACAAGTTGTCAACAGTTGCCTACTTTTATGCGTTTATACAGAGTTGAGCGGACGGTGTTTTCTTATGGTTTCGGTGAAGTAACTCTCTTCTCATTCAACTGGATCCCAAATCAATGCTTAATTTCAGACTGAGGCAATCTAGACTTGCCAAATCATTCTAGAGTTGGATTCTTTTCTAATGAATTTTGTAGTGTCTGGGAGACCGACTATAAGGTGGACCCTAGGTGGGTGACTGCACAGTGGCCTTGTCATGGCTTATGTGGTCACTTCATCTGAAAGCAGGTTCCGAGCTCCCATTTTAATTGGGTTATTACATTTTTCATTGGGTAACCAATATTTGTTCACTCATCTATTCATCACTCTATTGGGTTTTCCCCAACATTTTAAAATTGAAAAAAAATATGAAATAATGTTTTAGGTGGATGTAACTTTTCTAAATATGTAGGCCTGACTCGGAAAGTAAATTAGCTTGTAGTTGTGTTTCGGTAATGAGCTCCTTTGTATGCATGCTGAAAAAGCTTCATTGGGTATTTACTCGTGCTGTTTTTATACATCTGAGTTTTACATTTAATGCATGCGTTTCTGTACTCCAATTGATTGAAAGTAATTCACGCAAATACGCAGCTTATCTGTAGCTCTGAGGGTTTATTAGCAGTGGAGAGCGAGAGCAATCCGACAGTCAAGATATGACTTGACCATCATCTAGGATGTAAGCAACACCAGGCAGCTGGCCAGAGCTGTTTTCTTTTTATATCAAGTTATCCCTGATTGAAGCTACTTGACTTTCAGCGTGAGGTCAGTGTTTGCCCTGCAGTGAAGTATTTTACACTGCATGTGTTTTCAATATCACATGGCAAACTACCATACACAGTAAAACTATTCCAGTATAACTGTAAACCTGACTGTCACCTTGACTAGACTGTCACCTAGACCTACCAATGACTATCACCTTGACTAGACTGTCACCTAGACCTACCAATGACTATCACCTTGACTAGACGTCCACCTTGACCTACCAATGACTGTCACCTTGACTAGACGTCCACCTTGACCTACCAATGACTATCACCTTGACTAGACTGTCACCTAGACCTACCAATGACTGTCACCTTGACTAGACTGTCACCTAGACCTACCAATGACTATCACCTTGACTAGACTGTCACCTTGACCTACCAATGACTATCACCCTGACTAGACTGTTACCTAGACCTACCAATGACTATCACCTTGACTAGACTGTCACCTTGACCTACCAATGACTATCACCTTGACTAGACTGTCACCTAGACCTACCAATGACTATCACCTTGACTAGACTGTCACCTTGACCTACCAATGACTATCACCTTGACTAGACTGTCACCTAGACCTACCAATGACTATCACCTTGACTAGACGTCCACCTTGACCTACCAATGACTATCACCTTGACTAGACTGTCACCTAGACCTACCAATGACTATCACCTTGACTAGACTGTCACCTTGACCTACCAATGACTATCACCTTGACTAGACTGTCACCTAGACCTACCAATGACTATCACCTTGACTAGACTGTCACCTAGACCTACCAATGACTATCACCTTGACTAGACTGTCACCTAGACCTACCAATGGCTATCACCTTGACTAGACTGTCACCTAGACCTACCAATGACTATCACCTTGACTAGACTGTCACCTAGACCTACCAGTGAAATAATTGGATGATACTTCACTAAAACAGGAATTTTTTCTTTTCAATATATCTCAAATGGGCCTCAGATATATATGACAACATTGAGAGTACTGATATTTAATGACCATTATCCATTAGCCAATAACAAGTACACTGGACGTCTGATCATATTCCTTCTTGGACATTTGTCCATACAGTTCCATCTTCTAGTCTGCCTCCATTACTAGAGGAACCAGGAAATGTGTTGTAGGTGAGGCGTGCTTCCTGTACCCTACAGCGGCGGCAGTGGCAGGGTCGGGCAGACATCACACAGCGCTGTATCAGGGGTACACCTACCTAATCACACCTATGAAATACCAGCTATGTGTCTAATGGCCATTAAGTACCCCCTAATCTGGGGGCTGCCATCTACATGATGCAGCTGGAAGCCAACGCTAGCCCCCCACCCCCAAGCTGTCTGGCATTAGCCCTGACCTGCACTGACTGGCCTCTAGACTACACACAGTCACATCCTGTGGTGCCCTGACCAACCTCTAGACTACACAGTCACATCCTGTGGTGCCCTGACCAGCTTCTAGACTACACAGTCACATCCTGTGGTGCCCTGACCAACCTCTAGACTACACAGTCACATCCTGTGGTGCCCTGACCGGCCTCTAGACTACACACAGTCACATCCTGTGGTGCCCTGACTGGCCTCTAGACTACACAGTCACATCCTGTGGTGCCCTGACCGGCCTCTAGACTACACACAGTCACATCCTGTGGTGCCCTGACTGGCCTCTAGACTACACAGTCACATCCTGTGGTGCCCTGACCAACCTCTAGACTACACACAGTCACATCCTGTGGTGCCCTGACCAGCTTCTAGACTACACAGTCACATCCTGTGGTGCCCTGACCAACCTCTAGACTACACACAGTCACATCCTGTGGTGCCCTGACCAGCTTCTAGACTACACAGTCACATCCTGTGGTGCCCTGACCAACCTCTAGACTACAGTCACATCCTGTGGTGCCCTGACCAACCTCTAGACTACACAGTCACATCCTGTGGTGCCCTGACCAGCCTCGAGACTACACAGTCACATCCTGTGGTGCCCTGACCGGCTTCTAGACTACACAGTCACATCCTGTGGTGCCCTGACCAGCCTCTAGACTACAGTCACATCCTGTGGTGCCCTGACCGGCCTCTAGACTACACACAGTCACATCCTGTGGTGCCCTGACCGGCCTCTAGACTACACACAGTCACATCCTGTGGTGCCCTGACCGGCCTCTAGACTATTCAGTCACATCCTGTGGTGCCCTGACCGGCCTCTAGACTACACACAGTCACATCCTGTGGTGCCCTGACCGGCCTCTAGACTACACACAGTCACATCCTGTGGTGCCCTGACCGGCCTCTAGACTACACACAGTCATATCCTGTGGTGCCCTGACCGGCCTCTAGACTACACACAGTCATATCCTGTGGTGCCCTGATGAAAGGCTGTGAAACCGGTACCCAGGACGTTTGGTCTACTCCCTGCTGAGAGAGATGCATGTCCCTTGTTTGTTCCAGCGGCTTAACTCAGTAACAGAGAGCCTTCACACCAGAAACTGAACAGCCCTACACATAGATCAACTGGATTAGCTGGATATTGTCAGTGAGCGATGTTTTTGTAATGCCCAGACAGCAATATTTCAGCAACATAACAGCAGTCAGTCATCATCAACCTGAGGCATGATTTTTTCCCAGTACTTTTTTATCAAATGATGTTTTGCCCCAAATATTACATTGTAGGCCCCTCAACGATATCCCGTCCATCCCAGTGTCTGATGTAAGTAGTTGTATCCGCCATCCACAGCTTCCAATTGCAATCTCCAGGTAATGATGGATGTCTGGTGACATGAACGAGGACACTGCGCTGTTCTGCTGATTTATGAACTGTCCCAGCTGATGTGACTCCATCTCAGCAGACAGGACAGATCAGCCCTTTCCATGCAACTGTACACAATCATCACGGCCCTCATGTGTCACCCACCCCATCACACACACGGACATGTCATACATTTCCTCCGTCAATACTTCAAAGCACTTACTCTATGCAATGTGAATCTTAAAAGTTATTTCCTTAACACAACTCCTAAACACAAATTAACTTTTGAAGTATGTTTGATCACATGTAAGACAAAGAAACTAAAATAAGAAAAAAGAATCAGATGCAAAGAATTATTTATAGTTGACACAGCTTTCATTAATTATCCCCAATGAAACATTATTTATTAAATTAATAATTAAAATACACATATATTCACATAATTTCAGTATTTCCCAACTGTCACTGCGCGCCTCCCCAGGCAACTCCACTGATGACAGTGAGTGAGTGAGTGAGTGAGTGAGTGAGTGAGTGAGTGAGGAGCGAGCGAGCGAGTGAGTGAGTGAGGAGTGAGTGAGTGAGCGATTGAGCAAGCGAGTGCGTGAGAGAGAGTGAGTGAGCATGGCTTTAAGATGCTTTTAGCAATAGTCGAGTAGTATCACGGCAAGGACACCAGAAGATCATCCCCAAACAGCAGCTATTAAGGTAATTTTCATACAATTAAAATAGCCATTAGTTAATATTTTAAAACAATTCTAAAACAATTCTATTTCTGAGCATACCATGCACCCACAGTTTCTCATGGTGAGTTTTACAGAAACACTTGAGGAAAAGGTATCATAAGTATATTTCTCTGCCTACTTTTGTGTGTTTCCTGTGAATGTGCCCAGCCTACACGGGGATGTCAGGGAGACGTTCATGGCCTTGTCAAACACCATGTATTACATTTAGCCCATGCAGAGCTTCCTCACAGAACTTCATTACCCAGAACTTACCCTGTCATTATGTCCTGATGTGCCGTCC